AAATGAAATTGTTAAAAAATCTCAAGGAGGTTTCCGGAACACTACTCTTTTCTTGTATTATATACGCCGGTTCGTTGTAAGTGCAAGTTGTACCAGCAGTATCACCCAAAAAGAAAAAAGAAAAGGAAAAGCAAAATATGTACTAGTGTATGGTGTGGGTGAGCACTGTATCAGTTAATTACCGGAAGAGAAAAGCATGAAAATCAATTCTACAGTGTATATACACACATATATATATATATATATATATATATTGTTTGTGTAAATTATGATGTAAATTGAGTGAGCAGGATGTTTATTAAAACTAGAAGAGAGCTGGGGATGGGTGAGGCAATAGAGAGAGAGAGAGAGAGCAGGAGGAGGAACAAGATGAGATGGGGGATGCCCGGCGCTTTTGCTTGCTTTTGATCCTTTCTTTATAGAAGTAAGTAAAAGTGGTAAAGACTACGGTCACCCTTCACCGCTCCCAAGAACAAGAAGAAGTTCGCGGCAAAAACTTGTGTAGACCAGGTTTACGGGCCCCACACATAAACCAAGTGATCCAAAACATGCCATGTTGTCATAGCAGAATTTTATTAGTTAAAATTCTTTACGAAGCATTACTACTGCAGTCAAATCTGCTGGGGGTTAGCACTACTGCCATCGAACGTAGGATGTATTGCTTCCGCATTTTCCCATCCGATTCGAACAATATTAATCAACAAACAGTAGAATAGATGATACAAATGGTGTATGCTTAAAAAAAAAAAAGAGGATAAGATGGTACAAATGGTTTATACTAACCTGGCGTCGTGTGTACAAAGGGGATCCGGATCCTTTGCCCGACCCAACTCCCCATTTCCCCAGTCCAATCCATTGCCTTTTTTTTAAAAAAAAATTTGTATGAATTACCATTCTTTCATTCTCCTTCCCACTCTCCCGTATGTCCATTTCCACATTTTGGGCTCCCCCGACTCTCAATTGGTAGTAGTTTGCACTACAGCTAGCTAATACTTGGTTCGCTTGCACCAAACACTCCCTTCGGCCCTTGCACGCCTGTCTACTGCTACCACGGCGGAGCCTACTAAAGCTTTGGTCTTTGTTGGGCTGGCCCTACCCGGCTATCGTTTCTTGACCATCCGCTTCTCCGCACACTTTGTTCTCCCATTTTAGACACGGTATATTTTTGGATGGCGGTCGGGATTCGAATCTCACTTCCAATAATAAAAATTTAGAAGAGATATCAGAGCATTCTTTTGATCTAATCAAATCTGTATATTTGTTAGCTCCTTATACATTCTCTTTAGACTCCCTACTCTATAAAATAGAATAAATTAGATTATGCATATGGTATCGTTGCCAGAAGAAAAAAAAAAAAAGATATCCTATTGAATTTATGTGAATGAAAACTGTTTTGGAATTTATTAAAAAAAACCTAGATTAGTCAGTTGGATGTAGTATACTATTTTATTGTTGTTACATAATATAATGACTCACATTTATTATATATTACTATATATACGAAATTTTTTTAAAATTGAATTAGGTAGTTGAATTCCGATTTCAATTTGAGAACTCGAAATCATAATTTCTGCTTTTAAAAATCATGGTCCTGAATTCAAACTAATTTTGCCACTCTTGAATACGAAAACTCTAAATTCCTTTGCACACCTAGGTGGACTCATCCGTTAGTATTCCTTAATTTTTGCACCGTTTTTTTTTCCCAACTTTACTGTGCATCTATGCAGTGATACTTCTTTAGTTAGCGAATAAAGTGCCTCTTACATTTTAAGCCACAGGTTCGCATGTCTTTGTCTTAATTATGGTTTTCTGTCTTCTACTTCACTTCAGTACATTTTCTACAAAATTTATACCTTATAATTGCATTAAATATATTACTCTCACACAAGCGTTTAACTTAACTTGTAGTCTTGTACTGCCTTGTCAGAACTAGTACCTAGTGGAGATCCCAAAATATTTCAGTATTCAATGCCCATGTCAAATATGGGGTTGATTCTTTGAAGAAAAAGTTTCACCAGCGCTTCAATGAAGATGTAATAGTAGCTTTCATATTGGATTGCAGGGGTTGGACCCAAAGAGCACGGCGAGTTTGTTTGCCGGCAAAGCACGGTGCTTAGGAGAGAAACGAATTGGAGATGAAGATTGCTTCGTGTTAAAAGTGGCAGCAGATCGGGCGACGGTGATGGAAAGGAACGAGGGTCCTGCTGAAGTGATCAGGCACGTCTTGTACGGCTACTTCAGCCAAAAGAGTGGGCTTCTCATATATCTAGAGGACTCCCACCTGACCAGAGTTTTAGTACAGCAGCAGCAGCAGCGGGAGGAGGAAGAGGATGAGCAGCAGCCGGCAGCTGGGCGCCGCGAAAATGGAAGTGATCATCCTTCGGTTTCGGGCGCTGTTTACTGGGAGACAACCATTGGGAGCAGCATCGGAGACTACAGGGACGTTGACGGCCTCCTCATTGCCCATCAAGGCAGGACCGTTGCCACTGTATTCCGTTTCGGAGAGGTATCCACGCAGCATTGTAGGACGACCATGGAAGAGACCTGGGCCATCCACGACGTCGTTTTTGGCGTCCCGGGGCTTTCACCCGACTCCTTCATCCCTCCTGCCGATGTATGGGATGAAAGTACACATTATTCATCACATTAATAGTAATTTTTTTTTAAAAAATATTTTGCCGTGAAAATGCATTTTCCTTTCCTGAATATAAATGGTCACGATTTGTCCGTAACTTTTTTTAACTAACTCACAGTCACAGCAGCAAGTTCGCTGCAATTATATATCCTTTCCCAATCCCACCTATAGAGTATAATTTAATTTCCAAAAAAAAAAAATCCAAACTGCATTAAAGACGTGACGTAGCACCAACTGAAGCAGTTGGGATCCTCTATGTCACTACTCGGTGTCAAATTCAGTGTCAATCTTATTTATCATAGATGGTAAAAGAAATTTAAATAACTAGTACATGACAAATTAAATAAACAGGACACTTGACACAAATATAGAAGTGGCACTGCACCGAAGTTGCAAATTAATAACAGCAGGCTTCTTCTGTTCTGTTTTATCTTTGCATTTGGTGCAAGGAGTTTTACAATTAACTGCTGCTTATTATGAACTGCTGCTTGGTGTTTTACAATTAAGTGCATTTGTTCCCATACTAATTCTTCGCAAGCTTTATTGAAATTCTTTCTAACTCAAATTTAGTGCCAATTTTCACCTTTCGGGAAAAGATTTGCCAAGTTCTCCGCTCAACCCCAAGTCCTCCCTACACCCAAGTAACTTGCTCATAACAATTCTACTACTTAGTAGTGCTACTTACTGGAGGTCACCGTCGAAATGTTATTTAATTTCTTCTTTGGGATAAATCTGCACTCGAGTTGCTTTAAACCATGAATTGCGTGGATTGATTGCAGTCCAATTAAACTACGCAGATATCAACGCTTCCATTCTTGCCCGCGGGTGACTTTGGACTATTTTTTTTTTTTTTTTTCCCCACAGCAAGAAAGAACCGTTCATCTAAATGTTCTTGATTACTAGTATTATTTTATTCTAAATTAATAAAGTACACCATTTACTAAAGGGCTGCTGTAGCTGAAATGAAAGATACTACGTGCGTACGTAGTAGTACTACTACTACTATGTACTATGTAGCAGTAGAAGAGAAGTTTCATCCATCCATTAAAGAGTGCGTTTTGTTTTGAGAGACCTTTAAACTTTACCGCTACTCTCTCTATATCTCTCTTACTTACAAGTCACTCTTCCCACTAAAAATAAAAAACTTTGATGTATGTTATGTACTCTCCCCCCTTTTTCTGCATGCATGTCCATATTATCCATCGTTGGAGTTTGAAGCCGAAGTCGGCGGGCATGTAATGTATCTGAAATCTGGGGGAGGAACAGAGAGAATAAAGTTGGGAGAATTTAATTTGTTTTGCCTCCAGAAGAATGCGACAGTTGACAGCAATATACTATCTATCTTTGGAGCTAGGCCCCCTGACCTGAGCTATCTGGAAATCATAAAAGAAGCAAGAAAATGAGGCATCAAAGTAAGATCCTCTTTGTCGATGGGCTTCACTAATCTTCCCTTGTATAAAGTTCTAAACCCCCACAAAAAAAAAAAAAGGAGATCCTGAGATTGAGATTGCTCTAACTCTAAACTCTAAACTCTAAAGTAGTACGTAGTTCAATTACTCCAAAGCTTAATCCATTCCCGACAAAAGTTAATCCATTATTATTATTGACTGAAAAGGCCAAGTACGTCATGATGTATATGATCCTTCCGTTTTTCTCAAATTCCAACGAATGGACTAATTGACGTCCTTGCCTTAATTAATAATTACCATCATGATTCCATCATCATCATCATCACCGTGGAGGACGGATATTATTCATATATATCAAACCTGGACGGATTCATTAACGTCCTTCCTTACAAAAAGAAAAAAAAGAAAGAAAGAGCTAGCTAGAGCACTATATGTATATATTTATATGTGTAGATGCAGGGTCGGAAAAAGGTTTCCCCAACAATCATTGCTTCATCATTCAGGAACAAAACAACATAAATAAAATGCAATAATAAATGACTCCTCAAAACCATCATCTCAATTTTCATGCCTAATCCCATGCACCCTCAACTGGAACTGGAATAATAAGAGAATTAGCAGCTAATTAACACCTCTGCTATATATATATATATATATATATATATATATATATATATATATATATATATATATATATATGAAATACACCACGCACGTCGGTCGGTCACCATACCATAATTAATTAATGTGACTCACTCACTTCCATTCAAAATGTTTTTTTCAAATTAATTACATAATCATTTTTTGTTTTTGGACACTATCTAGATCCAAGATAAAGACAAATAAAACTCCAATTAATCAACTTAATTACTACTAACAGTGACACTACTGGTGTGTTCATATAGTATACAAATGTTAAAGAAGCCATGCACAGCTAGCTACCTACTGACTCAAGCTTTTGGAAACAAAACCGGAGATACATATATTCAGGATACGTCAAATCATGCTGGAATTAATGCATAAATATATATATATGGTCACCAAAATGAATTCACAGGTAATTTGCGTGATTCCTTAATTAAGACCCGAAACCCTAAATATCCATCTTACCCCTAAATTAAAGACTCGTATGAAGCATCATTAATCATGCATATCGATCTCTATGGTAAATCCGTCCTTACGATAGATCATCCGAACGGAGAGTTTCGTGCCTGGGACATGGCACCGGCAGCAGCTGTACCAATCTGCACTGCATTCATCCTATGATCACTGGATGACGATGGAGGAGGAGTAGTTGCAGTAGTAGAGGCTCTTCGAGGAGAGGGCCTTTCGAGCTTGGAGGATGCATTCTTTTGATCAGTACCCCCCAATACCATACCACCATCTGCTCCACAACTACCGCTTATCAATGGCTTTGTCTCGTACATATTACTACAGGTACTGTCCGACAAAGAATCAATCACGACGTCCACATTGCTTCTCTCAAGTGACAGTACTCCTGCTCCTGAAGGTGCATTATTCATCTGAATTTGGTGGTGGTGATCGCCTTTGAAAGCATCGTGATGATGATGATGGTCTTGGGAATTACCGAGACAGGATGCTGCTGCTGATCCTAGTTCTTGCAGGCGGAGATCGTGATGATGATGATGATGATCAGACCACATCAAGCTGGCTGCCGCTGCGGGGCTCTTGCCACTTCCTCCGCCATAAGGGCTAGGCGGCGTAGGCCTCTTCTTGCCCAGGTGGCACAGTTGGGTGTCGTTGTTGTTTGACATGAATCCGTCCAGCGACGGTGATCTGTCCACCACCATGCCGCCCTGTTGAAGTTCAAGTTGCTCACCTGATCCGTATATGTTGAGGTCTTGGAGAGATGGAAAACTGAGAGGGGGACCAAATTCCTTAATGTCCACCACTCCTCCCCCCGCTTGATTTCCACCCTTGTTATAGCTCCCTGCTGCTGCTGCAGAGGCCATATTTTCCCCGGCCAGTGTTTGACAAGCTTTCTCCAGAATAGTTTGCATGTACTTTCCTTGTGCCTCAATCCTCAACTGAAGGTGTCTTTGTACCTGCCCACATGCATGTTTCAACCTCAGTATTTCTTCAATCCCCGTGTATAGGAATATATTATATGACTAGCCTCCCCATTAATACCGACTTTCTTATTTACGTTTTTTTTTTCCCTCTCCTCTCCCTCTCTCCCTCTCCCTCTCTTTTTCCTATAGGAGGGGTTGGGTGGATTCAGATGTATAATAGGGTGCTGCGAGTCTGTATATACAATATATACATACCTCTAACTGTTCGTGAAGTCTTCTCTGCACTTCCATTTGCATCCTAATTGCATCAGTGATGCGAACATTACTGCCAGTGATCGAATCACAAATACCATGCATACATACAGTTTCATGAAGTAAAACCAACAGCTCATAAGACTAATTAGACCAACAATTACAAAGTTTTAATTCAAAAATTAGAAGCAAGATTTCTAGTTATTCATCAGGCCCCGCAATTAACCAAAATTAAATACGATGTTAGAGACTAGTAGTGAAAGAAATTTTGATACTCTTCCAGACCAAAAAGTAGAATTTTTTTTTTTTTTCCAAAGGAGATAAATTACAATAAAGATAGGATAGAGCCAAACATAGCGAATTAGAAGAAAAAGAAAAGGGGGCAATTACTATAACATACTCGTTCATGCTGCGACCAATCATCCCCGAAGATGAAGCGGAACTACTTCGTTGAAGTTCTAAAGTTGAAGCTGCCATCATTAATAATTAAGATCAACAACAGCAGAAAAGTTAAACACGTTTAATAGTATAGTTGTTGGGTTGGGGGTGAAGCCTAGGTCGTGAACTACGGCTACAAGAACATGAAATATATATATATATATGAATTGGTGAATGATTCTACTATTGTATTGGGGCGATCCAATGAAGAGAATTAGCAATAGTCACCTCTCTCACCATCTTTTATCGGGTGATCACTGAACTCCTTGTGGGGCTGCTTTCCGAGCCTGAATTTCTAATCCAGAAGAGATTGGAAAGAGGAAAAGGAACAGAAGGTTAGAACAGATACAAGTTAGATGTGTTTCTGGAGGAAATCAAGTAAAGAAGTTGGGAAACATCTCATCATGTTTGAAGTAATTAAGAAACCTGAAGATGGCTCTTGAGATGATAAAGAGTGAGACCCTTGACTCCCATAACTCTCATGATTGTCTTTGGGGTGGCCTCTGCATGCGCACAGTATCAATTAAAGACAAGAACGACAAAATTAGGATGATCAGAAATAAAAGTTTAAGGAAAGACACGAATGGAGATCAACTACGTATAACTGGCGACCAAAAACAAAAAGAGAAGATGATCAATATTAATGATTGGAGCTAAGAAAGAAGGAGGAGGAAGTAGAAGTAGTAGTAGAAAAGGTGAGTACTGTCAGGTCCACCAAGCTGGGTTACAGCATCAACAAAACGCTCATGAAGCTCAACAGTCCATCTGAGGCGGGGCTTAGGATCAGTGGTGAGGACAAGGCCGGAATCTCCTTGAACACATGACATGGGCCTCTCATGCGAATTCATAGCTGAGGCCGGCTTCTTTGTATGGAACATTTTCTCTCTCCCACACACACGGCTAGCTGCTGCTGCTGCTGCTGCCAAGAATGAATGAATGAATGGGGAGCGTACCGGGGGGCGGGTGGGTGGGTTTTTTTGGGAGATTCAGGAACAAGAACAAATGCCTGCAGGCATATAGAAGAGAGAAGAGAATATAGGTGCGGTTTTAATTGGACAAAGTGAACACGGCTTTCCTGCTTTCTGAAATATAGGAGTTACTACACCTTTGAAAGAAACCCCTGGACCCCTACTACGCAACGAAATCTTGCCCTATACTATACTATAAGACAAAAAAAAAGCAACTCGATGGAGCTACACCTGTTTAGAAAAAGAAAAAACCAGAAAATTACTAGACGGTTTTTACAAACACAGAAGATTAGCCTGCACTTGTCAATTTTTCTTATTCTTTGCTTTGGTCCACCTATGGTACGTATTATTTTGGCCTATGTAAAATGAAAATTGTTGAGAGTAGGTAGCTAGGTAATTGATGGTATTAGGCTTGAAGCTTTTGCTACTTGATCCTCATCGATCTCTGTGATTATTGATTAAGCTTCCATCTGCTTTAATGACAAAGCACTCAAGGACGTGATGATATAATGATGACACTGCTACTGCTAATTACATACATGTTTCGGGCAAAGCGAGCTCCTTTCAGTAAACGACCCAAAAGTTAGCAGGTCTGTACACAGATGTCTCAGACGTGCCTGTTGGCTAGTGCGAGTAATATAATACTACTCTCAAGTCACTACTTAATGGAGTACATACTAACAAGTTAATTACGTACTAAGCAAATCAGTCAATTGTCTCAATAATTAATGAACAAACAGTTGCTCGGTCATGTGTGCTGTATACGTACAACAAAAAAAAACTAGCACTGCTACCCTTCCTCCTCCTAGTACCATTACTGCTGCAAGTAAGCTGCATGCATGCAGTGATTCCAAATGGAGCTAGCGAGGTCCTCCCAATGTACTCCCAACTCCCATCCCATGCTTTAGGGTATAATACTCCGTACGAGTCAGTAGCAGTAGCAGCATGGCAGTAGTAGTAGTATACTATATAACACAACAACATGCATCAATCAAGAAGAATTGAATGAATGGATGATGGTAAAAGTATTTGAAAAATGGTGGGTAGGGAGTATTTTAACAAAAGGAGGGGACGGGAAAACCAAAGCGCTGAAGTAGTAAAGCAATTAATGTGGAGCTTTTCATGTCTTCTGCTTTTTTGAACCAAATTAAGCAGCTATCTTATTATTATTCTTATCTATAGGCGGGTGGTAATTTGGCAAAAAAAAATATATATATGAATAAATGTTTGTTGGAGACAAGTAGTAGTAAGTAGTAAAGGAGGTTGGGTCATGATCACGGCCATGGGCGGGAATTAGGAGTTAATAATCTCTTTTTCTTCTCTGAAGCAGGCAGTCTGGCTGGCTACCTAGCGCTTTTGTGGACGTGAAGATTGTCCTCCCCATACGCACGCACTTCCATGCATGCATCCATGACATATAGTACTACTACTACTAGTATTATGGTAAAAAACACTACTACTACCACTACTTTGATATCATCGTATCATCAATCAATCCATCCACATCACAGATAACTGACTCCCTCCTACTGTATATATCAATATCAATCCGGAGTTTCTCAACCTCATCACTACAACGTACCTACGTGTACACACACATACCTAAGTCAAACGCCCCACCACTTAATTAGCAGCAGCAGTAGTTGTAGTAGTAATTAATCCACTATTAATTATTATTACTCCTACTACTACTAATGCTTCTGTTTTGTTGATTTAATTCATAAACAAACGGACAAATATCTTAAAAGCAGCAAAGTTTTATCTCATCCCTTCACCATTCACCCCCCGCGGCCACACAGAGCTCCCCAGCGGAATGGAATAAATGCTTTCTTCTTTAACAATCAAAGGAAAGATTCTCTTCTTCACACACACACACACACACACACACACACACCCCCACCCCAAATTTTAAAAAAAAAAAAAAAAAAAAACCCTCTCGTAATAATTAATTCCCTTAAATCCTTTGCCCCGCCCCTTAGCATAAAAAGCAATCCATTTATCCCCCTTCCTTGTACACTTTATTCCTTTGTACAATGCCTTGAACCTTTTCAAGGATAATACTAGCTCATGCACGCTACTGTATCAGCTACCTTCCTAGTTTACCAAAATTTTTCTCCTAAATTCCAAATACTCATAAAAAAAAAAAAAATTGGTTCCGAATATAGAAGTGCGATAATATTATTATTAAATCAATAATAAGAGCCCCAACATATATAGGGAGTAGGGACTTGGCTACATGCATTGCCAAATGATTACGAGTACCATATCATTCATTCGTTCCTCCACGGTCGTCGACGACGAAAAAGGCAAATCTGTCTTAAAGTTAGACAATTCTTCATCATTAGAGCAGCTGCATCAATGCCGTGCTGTCCACCTTACTTGCGATAAAGAAACATCCCCCCGGATGAGCAAAGTTTTCGAGTGTCGCAACTTTTGTTTTAATCGACAAGTAGCAGCAGCTGCTGTATCAGCTCTCTTGGTTTTATTTATTATGATTTTTTAATAGACACTCATCATCATGTGTCTATTAAAAAATAATAATAACCGCAATTCAGAAAGAAAAAAAAAAAAGCGGCTACCGTTGCAAACAGGAACAGGCCCTGTTTGCTTAAATTTTAAGCATCTTCTGTGCGCTTTACAGAATTTATTCCTCCGCTTGGTGAATATATTCTTTTAGGCAAAGAGAACTTGCGGGACCCGTCTTCCTTTTGCTGCTGCCGGCTGCTCCTCCTCTTAACTGTGCGTGTCACCGCCGCTGTGTTTAGAAAGAGAGTGGACCAAACAAAACTCCGTTTTTTTTTTTTAATTTAAAAATTTTTTTTTTTCTTTCCTTTGTTTTCCCCCCTTTCTCTCTCTCTCTCTCATCCGTAAATTGGAAATTCGTTAGTAGCAGCGAGAATATCATCAAGGGTTGGTTTGCCCAAGAAAGGCAAAGAATCACCGACGGACGCACCAAACTCAGCTCGACGCAATACTTACTATTAAGTAAACAGTAAAAAAAAAAATGTTTTCTCGCTCGCTTCGTCGCCAAAGCAAAAATGATGCCTCTACCATACACTGCTGTTAGCCGCCCGAAACTAAACGCCAGCGAGGATCAGCTTAAAAATGGGAAAACCACCAATTAATTCTCTTGGATAATAATATGTTAAAATTCTCCTACCCATTTCAACCACCAAAATGATGTACGCTAAGAAAAAGGCCAGCCCCCAGAGAATAATAGCACTCGGATGGGAATCCGATTCCTGCCCCGCCCTTTGCTTGGACCATTTTCTTTCTTCCCTACGAACTTTCCCATTTTCTGAGATAGCCGTAACTCAAAAGCTTTAGGCAAGTAAAATAAACTTATTATCCCGTTCTTTGTTAAAAAAAAAAAAAGCCCTAGGGCGCCTAGGGTGAATAAAACAGCAGGAACAAAAAAAAAAATTGCCTCCAGGTTGTAGAACATACTACACAGGCAACAGAGGGTGTATTTCAAACATAGGGTGCACAACAGAGCTCTGAGCGAACTTCAAACATGGGGTGTGCAACAGAGCGTGCCGACTTTACAGGAGCTGCTTCAAAACATTTACAAGCCACCTCAGTTTCCACTCAGCTTAAATTTCCCAAACATACATATTTGATCTGCATTAAAATAAAAAAATCAATGTCACCCGCGAATAAATGGGAACTACTTTAATCCAGACCACAATATCATCGCATGTGAAAACATATCAATTACAGGTTAACCACTGTTCTTTAATCAACTACTAGCTTTGATGCCATGCCACTCAGTGTTTGCAATGCTATAGCATCACCATGTTTAATTCCCTGAAAAGCAATATTTGTTCATAAAAAGCGTACCTCCAAATATTCATCCATTCCATACTTCGAACCTTCTCGGCCAACGCCCGACTGTTTTACACCTCCAAATGGTGCCACCTGCACAGAAAGGAGGTCAATGCCAATGGTAACAACACTTCGGCTACGTCTTCCTCATATCTCACCAGTTGCATGAAACACAAACCTCAGTTGAAACAATCCCTTCATTAACTCCGACTATACCGTACTCAAGAGCTTCAGCGACCCGCCAAGACCGTTGAACGTTTGTGGTGAATAAGTAGGCAGCCAAACCTTGGACGTGCAAACACGAAGATTTTATTAGAAAAATAATAGGTAGCTAACATGTTTCAATGCCATTTTTATCCTTGATAGGGTGCCTTTGCAGAAATTGTACAATTTGTCCTCATCAATGAATCAAAGAAACTTCTTTAGAAAATTGTCATCTAAGACTTTCAAGTTTGTATAAAATTCCATTTACACGAACCTGCATTGGTATCATTTGCCATGTGGATAGCTTCCTCCTCAGTTTTAAACTTCAAAAGTGGGGCAACAGGTCCAAACACTTCCTCCCTGGACAACAACCCAAAGGTTTCAAGTCAAACATGAACCAGCCAAAAAAATAAAGAAGTGATGAACCACAGCGTAGAATTAGTATGTGTATCTTGTAATCATCAACTACCACCTGAATGCTATGAATACAAAGGTTCAATAAGATTACTTAAAAATTAATAGATCCTATAATCATTTGGTTTACTAGAAAAGCAGCAAAGGTAAATGTTCCATGCGTCACTCCTGCAACAACCGACATTAAGGACAAGAGGAAAGGGAATATAAAGTATAGACAATCTCAGAACACAATGGCTCCAATGCTTATGGCCATTGCTTTTGCATTTCTCCACTAATCTTTCTCAACTAATATCCCCAGATATTTATTTTCTTCACTTTCAAATAATAAGAAGATGATGCCAGCGTATGAAGCTCCAACCACTGCTAGAGCGCGCCATGCATATGCAAAATTTCAGCACAAAGTTTTGTGAGCATCTTTGTGTGTTCCAATGGCATAAAACCACGAATAAATCGAAAAACAACATTATTGAGTACACCAATTCCTGGCCTCATAACTCTTGAAACTATATATAGGAGAAAGAAGCTATAACATCAAAAAGCTCTTCCTGGACAGGGAGAAAGCCGACGGCCTGCTAAATATTTCCTCGCTTTGTTTTTGCAGTGAAATCGCTAGTGTGACTCCCATTCTATTAACGATACTTATTTCAGGAAAGACATGTATGAGCAAACTCTCCATTTAGGCACCAGAGTCACGGATCCCACCAGTTGAATTTCCTCGTTATTTCAATTTACCCAGATCATACTGTAGACCAAAATCAACTAGCAGCAAATTCTGACCAGAAAATCATTCAAGTGTTATGAACAAGTACCAAATCCTAACAGTTTCACATGCGATACAGTAATTTTGATCTCATAAACGACTCATCTGTATGAACACATTATGACAGATAAAGCGATCAATTATCATTTGATATGCTAAATTTGGTGTTCATAGTTGATTATTTTAGAAATGAACCCTCGGAGATGCATTTGGCAAGCGACTGCTGCATTATCACAGATGCAATTTGAAAATGAGCACATGCGACAGTGCTTCATCAGGTAGCCTGATTTACCTTGATATAAGCATCTCATTTTTGACATCACTGATCACTGTAGGTTCATAAAAAGTCATCCCAAGACTGTGTCTTTTGCCTCCTAGAATAACTTTTGCTCCCTTCAAACAGCGACACATGTTAGTTGACGTTATATATGAAAGCAGTACAGTAAAATCGTGCTTTTTAAACAGTGGAGGATATCCAGAGACAGGCACATGTCCAATAAAAACATCATCTTAACTTGTTTTTACATCATCATATGCCTAGTTCCCCCTTGGTTGGTATTTATATTATCATAGGCCTAGTTCCTCCTTGCTTGGAAAACATATTTCCTCTACTTAAAGACAAATGCCAATACAAGCATGGTTCAACATATTTCAGATGAATGGTATAGGGTCTGAAGTGTCAAAATTGCATAGTTCTAGGCATTGCTGAACCTTCAACAATAATACATATGCTTGCAGTGAACGAGAACAATACTCCAAATAGAAAATTGTTGTTGTAAAGTAGCTCAAGACGATTACTATAACAACTTGCAGTGAGTCCAAAAGAAGTGAGTTTTACAGCAGAGGTGATCAACAAACCTTTGAGATAGCGTCTTTAATTAGTGATTCCACCTGCAAGATAATTCCCGGAGGATTTATTTAAAAAATTCATCATCCAATTCCGAATGATTGAATACTAAATCTTAATGCAGGTAATTGACCTTCTGTACCGCCGCTTCGTTGATTAGAGGACCCTGCAAAAATAAAGAAGTCAACTCTCCAGCCAGATAATTTAGTTCATTGTCCTTACTAACCAAGAAGGGAACAAGATGAAGTTAAGAACAATGAAGCACCACTATCAAGAGTTCCCTAACAAGGAGATATAAAAGGTTCAAGAACTTCTGTTACAAGACTGAACAGAATACCATCAGTAATTAGAACATAACTCTAAGATCGTACAGCTTATTACGAAAAAAACAAATAGAAGCAGAAATCCGAAGACATTAGGAATCGGAAGTTCTCGAATTTAGCATGCATGTGCAACCACCTGCACCACATCTTCACCAAAACCATTTCCAACTTTCATGTTTTGGACAGCAGTGGAAAATGCATCAGCAAACTTGTCATAGATTCCTGTGAAAACAAGAAGAGACCAAAGAAACCTTTAAGTTGCAGGAAAAAGCAAAATAGACAAGGATGGTTGATGTAGAACTGAAGCAACTAGAATTTAGAACTGTGATTGGGTTTCTCTTTCCAGCATGGTGAATCGAAGTTTCTATGCAGGATCCTTACAAGAACTCCCCAGAACAAGCCCAAAGTAAAGCTGCATTGGGTTTGATGTCTACCTTTCATTAGTCTTCTGATTCTTCATAAGACACAGAAAACAAGGGACCCATACTGAATTTTGTAAACAGAACAAGTTCACATTCAAATTTACCATAACATGCATGGACATGTGCTAAAAACATGCTCTTGCTCCTGTCTTACCAATTTAAGCATAAACATCTGTTACATTGTAGCAGGCCTATCAAAAGTTCAAGTACCCTAATTCCCCTCAAACCATGGTGCAATTGACTTGGGTTTCCCCGAACTTCCACATGTTAACAATTTTAAGTAAATTTGTATCATGCAGTTTGATCTTCAAGAAAAGGTTCAATCCCTCATTTCTATGAAGTCAATATCCGCCTCGGTTGTGAATGTCTGTATTATATTGCTTTAGATATATCAATCAAATTTGTATAGAAAATTCCAGTACATCCCAGAACCCTAAAATCTAGCACAACCATCTAATGTTTATTACATCAATACTCGTTATAGTATCATTGATTCTTTTCAACATATCATGGGGCTCCAATCTCACTGTTAACATATTAAATTCCATGCTATCCTCCTTTTTCTATATGAGCGTACTTTAGGCTCCTATCTACAATGAAACTACCGTCACACGCAAAACTCTTTCAAATTGAATCTTACATCATAAAAAGTAAAGGGATGCTCCGAATAAATCAAAGAGGCACTAAATCAACCATACCTTCCTGCACAAGTATTCTATTTGCACAAACACATGTCTGCCCACTATTGCGGAATTTAGTCGCCAACTGCAACAAAAGATTTTATACAAGCTATAGCCTGAAAACATACCTTTAGAAATCAAACCAAAGAACAAGATTTCCTACCACCAAATCACTCAAAAATGAGTTGGAAACAAAACTAGTGGACTTGAACTTACTACATGCACATGTTTGTTAGTGTAGATTACTAACCACACCATACAACAGATCAACCATCAATGAAGACTGCATATTAAGATGATATGCGGAGGTTAAACCATAGTATGTCTTGTGCATTGTGAGATCCCTCCTGCACCATCTTTAACAAGCTTGAGCCCATTGCAATAGGTTGTTCACTTTAGTTGTGTTCGGTAACCCATCAAATAGGCTTCCTGAATCTGGAAGTCCATTTGAAAAAAAAAAAAAGAAGGGGGGGGGGGGGCTGGTGCAGACTTAAAATTAAAATTGGCTCCTCAGAAAAGACACTTCTCTGGGAAGTCCATCCCGGAGAAGCTAAGAAATGAAACTCTTTAGAAGTCCATTGCCTTCGTCCACACACTAGTTTAGAGGTTCAGATCAACAACTTAACTCATACAAGTCAACATTTTCTGTCAACTAAGAATACAACAAGAACTCATGAGGGAACTACAATAGTTTACAACTTAGTTGATTAAAGCCATCTTCTCAGCCAGAAAACAAACTTCAAAAGACACATAACAATTTTACAACTCTAAAAGGCATAAATTTAATTAAAAAATGGTAAATCATCTGGTCTCTATCACTAAGTGAGAAGAAACACACTAGTCACCCATGCCAGACAAAACAAGCGAAAAAGGACTTCACTGCAAAGTCATATGCCTTTACAGACTGAGAAAGAAAAGAGAGCAAAAGGTAGCATGCATATAACTTGTAAGACACCAATTGAATATCTACTATCTAGTGATGTTTTAGAAATTAACCCTATGATGGCTCTAAATCCATTGACGCTTAGCAATTACACAAACTTCAGTTGTTAGTTCATGTATCAGTAAAGATGAATGACTTACAGTCCCTTTAAGAGCCACCTCAAGATCTGCATCATCAAAGACTATGCAAGGTGCATTGCCTCCAAGTTCAAGGGATACCTATAAAATGACATCAGAAGTAAGTAGCAAGACTCGCCAGTTACCGATGCAATACCCTTCAAATGACTGTGCATACCTTTTTCACAGTCCCAGCAGAACCTGCCATCAATTTCTTTCCAACAGCAGTTGACCCCGTGAAGGTGATCTTCCTCACCTGAATGAATTTAAGGATAGCAGATGAAACACCTTGCATCATTTGCTGTTCAGCTACATCACAAGTTCAAGCAGAAACAGAGATCTAAGAGATTTAGCCGGTAAACCTTGGGACTGGAAAGTAAAGCTTCTCCAATCTCAGAAGCATTTCCCATAACAACATTCACCACACCCTGCATGATCAAATTATGATCAACTGGTAGAGATTAAAATTTTAAAAATATGAAAAGAGAATTCTAGATTTAACTTTGGTACCGCCAAAAATAGAAAAAGGAGAGAAGGAACTTATGTACCAGAAATATGAGCATACCCAAAAAACTCTAAAGACACACACAGTGATGGAGGAAGCAAGAGAGGATTGCAGGTGCATTTTGGTTTAACATATTTAAGACTACATTTAGTCTTTTCCATATTCTAGCTTCACAATTTCTCAGGCTACACAAAGTAGAAAGCTTTCCAAACAGTAGATGATCAAGCATATAATTACCATTTTAAAACCACATGCCTCCTTGCGCCAAAACTTGTACATTTGAACTTTTCCTCCTCCTTTTTTCTTGCTTCCTCTATTATCTTGTATCATTTGTATAAAAGATGCATAAATTTTTAAATTATATTAGACCTCTATCCTCCCTAAAACCAAGCAGTTGAGAACTTCTTTTTCTATTAGGAAAAAGAAGCTCTCCCTAAAGCTTCTAGTTGAGGTAGCAGTAACATATCCGTAACACAGAGCACTACCCTGGAGACAGCGACAAATTATACTAAAAAGGCTGTATAAGCAGCAAAAGGAAATGCTAGATTGTGTCAAACAAGCGTCATAATGGGAAAAGCCACGTAACAGTACAGTAACAAGATCTAAGAGGCTACAACTCATTGCGATTGGACTCAATCAATAACCTCATCTTGTATCCAACACAAATATCAGCATTACCGGGGGTATTCCAGCTTGAAGGGAGAGTTCAGCTGCCGCTAAAGCAGTCAAAGGTGTGAGTTCAGAAGGCTTGATAACCACTGTGCAGCCACAGGCAAGGGCAGGACCAACCTGGTATAATAATCAATCCTTATCCATAGCACCCACTGAAAAGTTTATGATTCTAATACAGAATGCAAAAGTATAAAGGAGTGGATGATAACCAAACAGTAAGTAGGCTCCAGAGACTCACTTTTCTAGTGATCATGGCCAAGGGGAAATTCCAGGGTGTAATGGCACCGACAACACCTACAGGCTGCAAACAAAATCCATCTTTCATTTTGATAGAGCAAATATATTAAACTAAAATAATCAGGGAACAGTCATCGCAGTAAAAATCTGCACTAACTAATTTCAGATAACTGGAAGCATACATCAGCGAGATAGCAAATAGTAATGCTAGAATGGGAAATTTTTACTCTAGATCACATTCACATAGACACAGAAAGATAACAGGTTAGGCTTCACCTGGTTCCAAAAGATCATCTAGGACATTTTTGAAATGAGTTTTAAATTCCCAAAGTTTGACAGCTTGGTGAAAAAAAATTAAAATGTTAAAGACCATGCTTATACCTGCTTTAAAACAAACAACCGGCGATCCGGTAATGGAGAGGGAATGATATCACCATACACACGTTTAGCTTCTTCTGCAGAGAATTCAATGAAACCCGCCCCATAACCCACCTGAAAATCATTATTTCGTAAATATTCTAAAAGATGCAATCTGCATACTAATACTTGCAGTGCTGGAGCGAAAAATGATAATCAAATACCTCACCAATTGCCTCCTTTAGAGGTTTTCCCTGCTCCAGTGTTATAAGTTGACCGAGCTCCTCCTTGTGGGCCATTAACAAGTCATACCTTGAATGCAAAACGATGCATTTTAAAGATCCTTATATCTTCTTACTGTTTGTGGTAAAGTTTTCTACAGGGTTAATGCAACTTCAAGTTAAAGCCTTTATGCTGGTCCCTTTTCTTCTTACTTGGACAAGCAACTCTTCAACATAATAAAAGCTCAACCCAAAGTAGACATATATCCACACACTAACATCATATTATTAATGAGTTTTTTCCATTTTCTCTGTAAGAAAGAATATTACCACCTCAACAATGAAGCACTCTTGCCACACAATAACCATCAAGCATTAGGAATGGCAGTACAATTAGATGCCATTGGGACTCAGAACCAAAAACAAAAAGAACCTGCCTCTTTTACGTTTAGGGTAAGATTGCTGAAGTTGAAAGAGTCCAATAACGGCCATCTCAAATCAATGGAACTCTTCTGAATCAAAACTTGTGATCAAATCATCAGAATATCTTTGTCTCATTGGCTTTTTGCTAGAACAGTGTCAAATGTTGTGGGGTGGTTGCTTCATGACAAAAATAAAAAAGTACTTGGTACAATTGAGATAGAACAATAAACACATATAAAATAAAGTTCCCCTCATTTTATGTGTATATTGCTTAACTGGGGATGAAGTAACATTTCATCTTGCTATAGATACAAAGTGAATGAGAAACAATAAAAGATATAAATCACCGCCATCTCAAGTGCTACATATGAATAACAAAGAATTGTATGCACACAAAATCATATGGGTGCAATAAATAGAAACTTTGCTGGATATGAATTTTGCCATACCATTTCCTTAATCGCTTGCTCCTATCAGCAGCAGTAAGTTTCTTCCAAGCTTTTACAACAAAATATTGACATGTCAGGTAACTATGTAACACGTCAAGAGTATAATAGATTCATATAAAATTAGCCTACTATGGCTGAAAAATGGTACTTTTTTCATAATTAACATGCAAAGGCAAGACAATCAGACGTGTCATTGAAAACATGAAAGGGAAGAAGGAAACATGAGGAATCTGACATTCCAGAAGAAAACTTATCAGTATAAACAAGCAATATTTTATTTATGACAAAACTTTTTCATGTTCTATGCCGTTGCCTTCAACTATGTGAAAAGATTTCAGAGATCTCCTTCTTCAACTGATACAAATGGAAACTTGCGCAATATTAGTGTTTACTTGCAAGCAAAAGTTGCAATCACCTTTGCAAAGGTAAATTAAAGAACCAAGAAGAACAGTTTACTTCAGCATTGGATCAGATAAGAAAACTAAGCCAGAAATACAGAGAAGACAATACAATACACTCACACACACATGTGGTCCACTTACAGTTGAATGCGTCATATGCTGAAGTGATTGCATCATTCGTCTCGTTCCTACCCATACATGGAACGTTTGCAATAACTTCTCCAGTAGCAGGGTTGCGTACCTGCCAATCCCAGAAACACAAATACACATACACATCAAACGGGGTGCAACGTAAAGTGGAAGATTCTTTTCTAGAAGAAAGGTTTGTGCGTGGTTTTCTAGTTTGCAGCCACCCAGTTAGTAATTCTAATCTTTCTGTATTTTTTTCCCCTGTGTGGTAGGGGTAGTGTAGAGAAAACCTCAATAGTCTTGCCGTCGTAAGCATCTGTCCACTTGCCCCCAACAAGGCCCTGAGCGTGAAGAAACCCGGAGCTGCTAAGACGAGCAGCAACGTTTTGTGCTTGCATATTTATCTGAACAATCATTCCAAGGCAGTCTAAACGTCATCAGTCATTAGCAGTGGGAAAAGCAAAATGCGAAAGAGAACTTTGAAGAATGGGTGAAGTGGAAGTAGGGTGGAACAAAGACGTCACTAGGAAATAGCCTCTTTGTAGCAGTCAATGAAAATAAAATCCCCGAGTCCAAGATGCATCAACACCCAACCAATTGAGAACACCATCCCCGTTATTTAGTAGTATTTGAGAAGCAGAGATTGGACGTTCAAGATTGAGAGGCGTGGGGAATGTGTACAAGTATGATGAAGTGCAGAGAATCTAAGAGGAAGCAACATGAATCAAGTGATGGTGAAGAAATGATTGAACCAGGAGATGTTGAGTGGTTGATTATTGGTTTTTTTTTTGTTTTTGTTTTTCCTTGGTTGTTTTTGTTTGGGGGCGCGCGCAAAAGGAACGAAAAGAAAGTTCGCAAATAGGAAATAGTTAGCTGAGTATGATGTTAGACGAAGAAGGATGGAAAGCGGCGGTGGTGGTGAAATGTGAAGGAAGGCAAAGTGAGAATGAGAGCGAGCAGTAATAATTACTAGTAGGAAATGGTTACCTGGCGTATGAAGAAGGGAGGTTGGGGTGCGGCGGCGGCTGCTGTAGGCGCAGGCGCCCGAGGCAGAGGAGAAGCCAAATGTAGAAATAAACGATGAGATTGAGGAAACCTGGTGCTGAAGACACAGCGGAAGCAGGCCATGCCGCTTGAGATGCGTCCTCTTCCTCCTGCTGCTGCTCTTAGATCAAATTAACCCTCCTTTGCAGCAGTAGTGTAGTAGTATTAACAGCACTTTGTCAGTTTTTTCAGAGTCGACGTCGTGATGCAATAGTAGCGTTTAATGATTGAGCTAAGTCTGGCACTGATGGACGACGATGGATCAGCACACCGCCAGTTTTAGGAGAGCACTAATTGATCGATGGAAATGTTGGGAATTGGGTCAACCTAGAGGCGTGATTAATGAATATAATCCTCAGTGAGACGAGATGAATCGCCGATTTATATTCATTTAATTAATAAACAAATATGGGTATACTCAATTATTCATTCATATAGTTTATTTGCAATGTTATTTTATTTTATTACATATTGTGTGATCAGAAATAATAATATTTTATTATTATTATTATATTCATGACTAATAAGTGGACTTGGACATATAATGAATTTTGAATGGGACTAAATTTGTGCTCAATTAAATTTATTTAATTGGTGGGTAATAGGTTGATTTGATTCACTCATTTATATTAATTTAAAAATAATTATACATTTAAACTCAATTTTTAGTAGATGTTACGCAGATAAATTTGATTTTTTTCATTAATCTAATAACAAAAAAATGTCATTATTTCTTATCACACAATATGCAAAAAAAAAAAACTTTACGCGAAATGTCTCTAAACTATTGAGTTGTCCCATTTTGGTCAGCAAACTAATTTTTTAGCAAAAATTGTCACTTAATTAGTAAATCAGTAGCATTTAGGTTATTCTATCTAATTATGCCATTAGAAGAGACAAAAATTCACTTGTTTAGGGACAGTTTCATCTATACAACTTTTTGTGTGAACTTACTTTCACAAAAAAAAAATTTGCAAAACTTCAAATTTATATTAGGGAAGATCGTTCAAATATCCCTCACATTTTGCAAAATAACTTTTTTCGTCCCTTACTTTTAAAAGTGTAATTTTATATTCATTACAATTTCGCATTGATCAAATTTAGTCCCTACCTAGGTTTCTGACTAGTTTTTTGCCGGAATCCATCACGTGCCTTACACGTGATCATTTTTTAAGGATTAGTGAAATCAAATAGAGATATATTGTATGCTATTCGTGCTGCTCAGGTAAAATTAAATAAATAAATATATGAATTTAAAAGAAATTGATAGTTTTTCACTCATATTTATTTTTTTTACTCGAAAATTGAAACAAAGAAGACATTTAATCCTAAACATTGTCGAATGTTTATATCGAATTAAATTTGGACAGAAAAATAAATAAAGGAAAAGTATGACAAAAAGAAATAAATGATTGGCACTTTCAAATTTTAAGACAGTCACAAGATAAGTAATTCAATTATTGGTCTTAAAAGTGGTGTATAGAAACTGCACATTTAAATTGCAATTTGTTAGCAAAATTATAGAATTCAATTTAGAACCCATTAATTAGATAACCTTATTATACAACTCAATAGATAAATTATTACCAAAAGAGAAAGGTTATAAATATTGAATAGGTACACATAGTGAAATCATATAGATATATACATGGATTTAAAATAAAATTGTTAGTTTTAAACCCTTGTATATATATATATATATATATTGAATAACATGTATACAACTACGAATAGCCTGTTTATATGAAATCAAATAGAGATATATTACATACTATTCATGTGAAATCAAATATATATATATATATATATATATGGGTTTAAAGAAAAAAAAAGTTATTTATAGATATGATCAATAAGGAATGAAAAAATTTATTTTGTGAAATGTGAGAGACGAAACAATTCATTTTTAAAATATTAGGGAAAAAATCATTTTATAAAATGCGAGAGACCATGAATTGAATTATGTAAAATTTGATTTGATAATTTTGCCATTAAAAATAATTACGTGCCATTTTGGTCAAAAACTAGTTCGAAACCTATGTAGGGATCAAATTTGATTAATGTGAATTTGTAAGGGACGTAAAATTACACTTTTAAAAATGAGGGACGAAAAAAAGTCATTTTGCAAAATTTGATGGATGTTTTAAACGATTTTGCCCTTTATATTATATAGACCAAAAGTTGACTCCTGTTCATAAATCAGAAATCAACAAGCTATTAGTCATAAACATCATATATTTGTTTCTCCAAAAGTTACAAATTTGACAGTACTAACTGTCCTTAATACCTAATCATAGATATAAACGCAAATCCAATTGATCATCCAGTCACCTAAAAAATTTTTGCTGCTTTTCAAAATGGAGTCGAGCGCCCCCAAAATGGCAAATGGCAGCAACGAATTGGCATCCAGGGTATTAAAAAGATCGAAGCAACTATATTCTTGAAAAGATTCAAATACAAATCACAAATGTCCCTAATTACTGACAGTGGCTGCCTATCTCAAATTATATATTAGGGAACCAGCTCAACAAGACCCTAACCATCAAAGCCTCAATGTATATATCTAGCCATTTTGCCATCCGGGCAGTGAATGGTGTGCTCAAAGTTCGATGGAAGCATCCCAAATAGCAACCAAAAAAAGTTGGGTTGGCTGAGTTGACTAAAGGCTCCGAGAGGTCATGAAAGCCCTTCAATTGCTGGTCCAGATTGAGAGCCTTAATGGCCAACAATTTGGAAGTCGTTAAAAGTGAGAGCGAACAATGTAGTCTTAGTCCGATTTGAACCGATGAGCAAATATTGAAGGGGGAGAAAAGGCGGGAGGGGGGGGGGGTTCTAGTAACTACAGGTCTTGTTAAATGGGTTATTAATGAGGATCGACGAGGAAGTGCTAATTATTGTCGGCCATTTAGGATTAGCGATGGAGAAGGAAAGTTGTGAAGGATAGGCAGCGGGTGAGGTTGTTTCGAGAAGGAAAAATCGTTTAAAACAAATCTCACATTTTGCAAAATAAATTTTGTTGTTGCTCATTTTAAAAAATGCAATTTTACGTTCCTTACAAATTCACATTGATTAAATTTGGTTCCTATCTATATTTTTAACTAATTTTTTATCGTAATCTACCACGTGCCTTGCATATGATTATTTTTTAAAGATAAATTTGTCAAATTATATTTTTCACATAATCTGATTCATAATCTTTCACATTTTACAAAATGAATCTTTTTGTCTCTTACATTTTAAAAATGAAAAATTTCAACCCTTATTGCTCGTGTGTATTGTATTTTTTTTTTACAAAATATTTTTTTTCTTGTTTATGAAAATTTATGTATATATCTATTTGATTTTATCTGAATAGTACGAATAGTATTTAATGTATCTCTATTTGACTTTGCACGAATCAAATAAAGATAAATTATGTGTTATTCGTACTGTTTAGGTGAAATCAAGTAGATACATACATAGGTTAAAAAAAATTTATTCATACACATGATCAATGAAGGATGAAAAAATTCATTTTGTAACATGCATATAAGTAGTTTTTCTTGTTTATAAAAATCCATGTATATGTCTATTTAATTTCACTTGATCAGTACAAATAGCATATAATATATATCTATTTGATTTCATATAAACAAGCTGATTAGGTGGCACAGAAGAGAAAGTGTAAATGAGAAGTTTCAAATTCGAATCTTTTCACTTACACTTAAAAAAAGGGAGATATATTATATACAAAAAAATATAAATATATTACATACTATTCGTGCTGTTCGAATGAAATCAAATAGATAAATACATGGTTTTAAAAAAAAAAATTATTTGTACACATGATCAATAAAATGATGAAAAATTTCATTTTGTGAAAATACGAGAAATGAAAAAATACATGTTGCGAAATGTAAGGGACTATGTATTAGATTATGTGAAATTTGATTTGATAATTTTGCCCCCTTAAAAATGATCATGTGCAAGACACATGATGGATTTCGACAAAAAATTAGTCTAAAATTTAGATATGGGTCAAATTTGATTAATATAAATCTGTAATGAATGTAAAATTACACTTTAAAAAATGAGAGGGGAAAAAAACTATTTTACAAAATGTGAAAGACGTTTCAAACGACTTTTTTCTTTTGAGAAACAAAAGTAGGTTTTTTTAGAATTAAGGTCTGAGAGGCAATCTTGTTTTGTATAGATGAAATTGAAGGTGAGTTTCCATCTCTCTTAATTAATGCTATAACTAGACGGAATGATTTAAAAGTTACAAATTTATTAGTTCGATGAAATCTTGGTTAAAAACTTTTATTAGTTTCGCGAGCAAAAGCGGCACAACTCATTATTATGATTTGGTGACATATCCCGCAATTTACTCTTATAAATAATAGTATAATAATAACAGCAGCGTGGTTATTTTGAAAGCGCAGCGGACTCCAAACTAGTTATAAGAAGAGGAGACGAAAGGAAGTGGAAGGAACCAAAGAACGCGTATTCTAGTCTCGTTTGACAAATGCAGGAGGGCCGGTTCTCGCGTCATTCCTCTTGACGTGCATTCGCAAATTTATCGCAAGCAAAGGTTCAACTTTACCGCTCTTCTACTCACAGCAGTATTTACCTTCCTGAATTCTTGTACGAGGCACAGATACCTGTTTTTTTTTTAAGTAGTAAAAATGGAAATGCAGGTAGCTTTTCACATCAACAAATTTTGAACTGGTGCTAGCTAAGAGGTAGGTTGGTATATTTTGAAGTAGCTTTTTTGTTTTTTTTTTTTGGCGGAATTTGAATGGTTGGTTGTTTACTTGATTTGAAGACTAAACATACGCCTAGCATATAGAGATAACTACATATAGTAGTATTTGGGAGGGGAGAAGGTATGGTAAATCAAAGACTGCTACTAGTATTGACAAGTAAAGAAGACTAGAAGAGGAGACAATTTCAAAGTCAAAGGAAGACAGAGAAGACTAGTTCTCTCTCTCTCTCTCTGTCTGCGTGGATTTGTATGCAGCAGCGTAGACGAGTAATGATTTTTTTTTTTTTTGGTTTGGGGGTTGTGACTCGTGAAAGGAGGAGGAGGAGGACAAGTATAGTTTGGGAGCATATATCAACGTATCATCTGAAAATTTCTTTGGATTTCACAACCAATCTTCTTCCTCTTCTTCTTCTCTTCTTCTATCTACCAGTGCTGCTAGCTAGCTAGCATATTCCAAATATTCTGAAATCCGCCACCCATCCGCCGGCTGCCATCCCTCATCTCTTTCAATTTTCAACGTCTTCTCCGGCTCCATCACCCTTTTTCACCCCATACTATATTATACCCTCTTTCTGCTTCTCAATCCATCCCAGCAAACATCTGTGCTTTTTTTTCTTTTTTCTTTCTTGCCAAAAAAAAAATAATAATAATAGAAAAGCAGCAAAAAAAGAAGGATTCCATCCAGTGATGAACTCCAACAACACTCCGTCATCAAGTGCAGGAGGTCCTGGATCCGCCGCCGCCGATTCCACTGCTCCTCCCACTACCCGAAATTCCAAGCGTCCCAAGTGTAATCTTTCTCTGCTCTTCTTCTTCCTACTCTTTGTCCCTTATTTTCATTTTTACTCCTCAATATACTTCATCTTTAGATTTTGTGGTTTTTGGTTTCAACTTTTTGTTTGCTATCGACTCCTCTGCTACTGATCATGCTTTCTATTCATTGAACTTTCCCCCAACGGGGTTGACCTGTTGGAACTTGTGTCGGATTTCAGGTTCTGACCCCCATACTCGCTCTGTTTTTTTTTTTCTATTAAGTTTTTCCCCTTCACTTTATCGGCCAACTTGTGATGACCAAGTCAATTTACTCTTGGGTTTGGATCGAGAGCTATTTTTGTAACCTCTCTCTGGGGGCTTATCTCAGTTCCAGAGAGAGGATCTTTTTTTTTTTTTTTGCAATTTCTGGAAATATAAACAATTCTATTCCGGGGAATAACTTCTCTTTGGGTTTTTTCAATCTCTGCTGCATTTTTATATGTTAATAATGCCTTATGTCCTAAGCATTTATATCCATTTTCTTGTCCTCGACGCATATACAAATTGGTTCTTTCTGTCTTCGCCACAATTCAATTGCTTCTTAATGACGGAGAAGAATTTCCTTTTTCGATTTTATTCTTCAGATTCAAGGTTTACACAACAGGAACTTCCAGCATGCAAGCCTATTCTTACACCAAAATGGGTACTGATTCTATATTTTGTCGTGTTGTTTCTTAATACTAATTTTTTTGGGTAACTCATCGGCGTTACTGGAAATTTTATTAACTCATGCATGCCTCATTTTTGTTGTCTTCTCAATTGCAGGTTATCTCAGCATTCATGCTTGTTACAGTCATCTTTATCCCTATTGGAGTTGCTTCCCTATTTGCATCCCATGACGTAAGCAAGACATCTACTCAGTTGTTGCACATCCTTATATCCTGCTTATGCTTTAAAAAGGAAAAGAAGATAAAAGAAAAATGATTCACTGCAATATATGTTTCTTATTCTTTCAGGTTGTTGAGATAATTGATCGCTACGAAACTGATTGTATACCTGAAGATTCAAGGAAGGATAAAATTGCATATATACAAAGCTCTGGTGATAAAACCTGCAACAGAATTCTGAATGTATGTTGCTGTACCTCCCCCCTCCCCCACCCCCCTTGTAGACATTAATAAGGCTGTTTTAGTCTTTCCTTATTTTAGGATCGACAGTGGATTTATTTGTTAAAGTTATATATCAGGTAACGAAGCATATGAAGCATCCAATTTATGTGTATTATCAGTTGGACAATTATTACCAGAATCACCGCAGGTACTTCATTGTATTATGCTCTAAGCTGTTTTTATCTGGTTTTTTCTCCCATTAATTGAAGGAATTTCCTGTATAGTAGGACCTTCTAGGCAGTTAATAAAAGTAGCTTTTGAGGGGATCGTGTTTTTCCTTTTATGAGAGCTTCACTGGAGGAATATGCAAGTTTAAGTGGAGAGTTTCGCTTCAAGAATATGCAAGTTTAAGTGAATCTTCTCCCAGTTGAAATTGACACTATTTTCTCTGCCTGAAAGTTGTCCCCTTTTTTTCTGTTTTATGTATGATTTATTCATGGAAAATAAGCAAGTCCATAGGATTGAAGAAGACTAGCGTTGGGATCGCAGGAGGAAAGACTGTCAGGAGGTCCTAGGTTTTATTCCCATTGTCGTGGGAGATCTTGTTGTAGCCATATGTTGATTTACATCAAACAGTATATGAGTTTGTTAAGCACTTGGTGCCTCCTAGGCAAAATTTATAATTTACTCCTAGTTTCTCCTTCATTTTGACCCACATGTGGCCTTCATTTTTACAATTTTCAGGTATGTGAAGAGCAGAAGTGACCAGCAGTTGAGAGATCGTGATAGTGAGAATGACACCAGTGCTTGTAAGCCTGAAGATAAAACGGCAAATGGATCGACTATTGTGCCTTGTGGCCTTATAGCATGGAGTTTGTTTAACGACTCTTACAGTTTCTCCCGGAACAACCAGAATTTGAGTGTGAACAAGCATGGCATCTCTTGGAAGAGTGACAGAGACCACAAGTTTGGCAAAGATGTCTTCCCTAAAAACTTCCAGAGTGGGGGACTTATTGGAGGGAAACATCTTAATGAATCCATACCAGTAAGCCTTCAACTACATGCTGTTGATTCATAACCTTATAGTACAAGAAAATGATTAGCTAGTCCTTGAAAAACTGAAGATAAAGTAGTACGATGCAATAATTTAAGTCATTTTTACTGTGCATGTTAAAGGCCTTTAGACTCAACTCACAAAGGTCTGATACTTGCTACCATAGATTCTTGACGTGGTTTATTGTTGTGTGGTCATCTCGAGTGAGAGCTTTTGAAAATGGGAAACTTAAGAAGAGCATAATTGTGCACACGACTTTTTTTTTTTTTTTGGGGTATTTATTTTGGTTGTTCTGTTCTGCTTGCACTTAATAGTAGTATTATGCCATACTCTGCTTGCATTGAACTACCTCAGAAGCAGTTCTGCTTGCACTTAATAGCATGCCAAACACTTGATTGCATTGGACTACCTTAGGAGCAACATGTTTGCATTCCAGCAAGTTTTCTACTTGGCAAAGGATACTAATCTATGAAACTGGTTCCCTCGAAGCAGCTGAGTGAGCAGGAAGATCTTATTGTATGGATGCGTACAGCTGCTCTTCCCACCTTCAGAAAATTGTATGGCAAGATAGAGGTGGATCTTGTTGCTGGTGATGTCATCAATGTGACTTTACAGAACAATTACAACACCTATAGTTTCAATGGCAAGAAGAAGCTTGTGCTTTCTACAACCAGCTGGCTTGGCGGAAAGAACGACTTTCTTGGCATTGCCTATCTCACTGTTGGTGGACTCTGCTTCTTTTTGGCTATGGTTTTCACTATCATATATCTCGTCAAGCCAAGGTATGTTTTGGTTTCTCTGTCAGTAATTTTCCGCCCTGTAACATATATGCTTCCTTAAAGAGTCATATGGTTATAATCCTCGGTCACTTTTTATGTTTCAACAACTAGTGCTGCCCTCAAAAGTCGGTCGATTTCTTCTTTGTTTTAGGCGGCTCGGTGATCCGTCTTATTTGTCATGGAACCGGAACCCCGGAGGACACTAAAGCTGAATTATTAACTCATCACCAGGACTGCTTGAGCAGCATATTCTACTGGATGCAGAGTTTGTGGAATCTACACGGCTCCGTTTGGATTAGCTGTTTTTTGGGTTGTTTTTCAAAAACAGTACTGTAGCATTTTGTTTTTGAAATACAAGTCCGTTTGGATTAGTTATTTTTGGAGTTGTTTTTCAAAAACTATATGAAAAACTTTTATTGTAGATATTTTTTGGATTGTTTTTAGAGGTATTTTTGAAACATATTTTTGGGTATTTTTATAATTTTTATATACATTTATGCATTTATAATACATTTATAAATAATTATATTTATATATTCGCTAAAAAATATATAAATGTATTATATTATATATAATACATAATATAAATATATTTATAAATATGTAAGTGTATATTATTATAAATGTATAAATTATAAATGAATATTATATAAATGCATAAATTACAATTTATAATTTATAATTTTTATATTTTTATATAAATATACATTTATGCATTTATAATACATTTATAAATATTTATAAATAAATATATTTACATATTTATATAAAAATATATAAATGTATTATAAATTTATTATATTATATATAATACATAATATAAATATATTTATAAATGTATAAGTGTATATTATTGTAAATGTATAAATTATAGCTGAATATTATATAAATGTATAAATTATAAATTATAATTTTTATATTTTTATATAAATATACATTTATGCATTTATAATACATTTATAAATATTTATAAATAAATATATTTATGTATTTATATAAAAATATATAAATGTATTATATAATATATAATATATAATATAAATATATTTATAAACATATAAGTCTATATTATTATAAATGTATAAATTACAACTAAATATTATATAAATGTATAAATTATAATTTTAATAATATATATTAGTATTAAGTATAAATGTATTAATATAATTAATATAAATGTACAAATGTATTAATATTATGTATAAATATATAATTAATATTATGTATATTAATATAAATGTATAAATGTATTATATTATATATAATACATAATATAAATGTATATTATAAATATGCATTAATATATATATATATATATTATGTATAAATGTACATTTATATAAATGTATAATATATATAATATATAATATATGTTATATGATATATAATTTATATAATATATAATATTCATATAAATATATAAAAGTATTTATAATATGTATAAATAAATAAATAAATATTTAAAATTTATTATATACATTAATATTAATTATAAATATTATAATATTATAAATATGGTGTTTATATAATATTTCAATTTGTAATATTTATTGTATATTTCATTATATAAATATTCATATAATATATATTATATAAATATATAATATATAATTTTCAATTTGTATAATCTACATAATATTGTATATATAACATAATATACATAATATAATATATTATACATAATATACATTATTACATTATTACATATTATGTATATTATATATTATACATAACATTATTATACACAATAATGTACATAATAATATTATACATTAATAATGTATATATTATAATATAATGTACATAATATATTATGTATAAATATTTACACATGTATGTATACAATATTACATATTATGTATATTATATTATATTATGTATAATATACAATATTATGTATAATATTAATTTATATAAATATTTATATAATATATAATATATATAATTTTCAATTTGTATATTTCAATTTATATTAATATAATATATATATATTTATATATATAATATACATAATTGAAATATACATATGTAGTTGTTTTTGATATAATATTTGGATATGGTGTTTTTGGAGTTGTTTTGAAAATACACATTTACTGTAGCATTTGGAATGTGAAAAACAGTTTTTCAAAAACAACCCCAAAAACAAGGGATCCAAACACACCCCATTTGTAAAAAAACACAACTGTAATGTCGTGTGGTTGTTTAAATCTCTCACTTTGTAATCACGAGGAGGATACTTTATAGTTTGATCTTTGTTGCAACAATCATTAATTATTTCGTTAGAAGACGGCGGCTCCGTCCCGTCCCATCTCATTAAATATTATTATTATTATTATTTGAAGTTACAAATAACTTCCAAATTAGCCTTTTCTTCTTATGTCTCTCACTCACGATCAGCTTTTCAACCGTCAAATTTTGGCACCGTCATTCCTGCAGAGTTTTTGCCGACCGCATTTGGGCTCTTGAGATTATTCTCCTGTAAGTAACTTCAATGGGGAATAATGGAAGCAGCCCCCCCAATTCATATAATGCCAGCCATTCTGGTTGATTCACCTTGAATATACTTGCCTATATTTAATATTTAATATTTAATTAAAAGGGAAAAGGAAAGGTCAAGGGTACTTATCTGCATATTAAAATATATATACATATATGTATGTAAAACAATCCAAGAAGGATTTTGTGTTTGGTTGAGCAGCATCAGATTAACTACTGTGCCCTCTTCATTCTGGCCTCCCAAAGAACTTGCCTTCAATTACCATCCAGCCTTTTGCAAAACGGCATATTCATGATATGAAGCTTCTGACTTTCATCACTCACTCCACTCTCAGCAAGATGTTAGAGAGGTATGCCCCCTCTGGATAGGACGGGTCAATGGGATGGTCAGAAGCTGCTCCTGCCTGCCGTAGAACAGTGATTTTCCTTCCAGCCATGGCTGCGGCACCCTAAACAAAAAAGGAATATGAAAAAAGCTGGCACCAGAAAGAAGCCATTTTACGAGTACCCATATGAAGTGACGCTTCTTTTCATCCTCCACAAAACTTTATTGCTGACTACGAGAAATGTAGTATAAGAAACAAGGAGGACAGCCAAATCTCTCTTGCCAAAGAAAATTCTGAAATAGACTTGCCTGGAGAACACGCAGAAACATCCCACTCTGAGTCATTGCTCCAGAACATGAACAAGTCATAAGAAGACCATTCTTTTTCGTTAATCTCATAGCCAAGGAGTTCAAATTTCTATACATGCCAGATGCACTATGAAGAACCTGTATAAAGTCAGACTTCATCAGTAAGCACTACTGCATTAACAAGTTCCATAACCCAATGCCTCAAACTCCCCCAGCCAACATGCATGAAACCACACATACGTAGAAGGCCTCTGGTTTTCCATAACATAGAAAGCATGGAGTCTGAACCAGTAGCGAGATCAACAACATCAAATAGGAACAATCTGGAGAAGATAGCACAGAAAGCATATTATGGTACCTTTCTACGAGGTGCCAACTTAGGTGGATCCAAGATAACTATATCCCATGAATCATTTCTAGATAAAGCATCCTTCATAAATTCTGTTGCATCTTGCTTCAGAAATGATATTCTTGCAGGATCCATGTCATTTATAATTATGTTTTTCTTTGCAAGTTCCAATGCAGGCAAGGATGTGTCAACACCTGCCACAAAAACACAACAATCAGCACGTTCTCCAATCCTGGATAGTCTTATGAACATGCATAGTGTGGATAGAGCACTTGTGACAGTGCATAGGGACAAATCTTGAATTTCAAAAGGGAAAATGGTTCAAGACATCCCTCACATTTTGCCAAATGAATTTTTTTGTCCTTCACTTTTAAAATATTAACTTTATGTCCCTTACAAAATCAAGTAGGTAAAATTTAGTCCCAACCTAAGTTTTCGACCACTTTTTAGCTTGAAATCACCACGTGACCCACATGCAACCATTTTTTAAGCACGAAAGGACAAATCCCACTTTCTTAGAGAGAAAATGAATATGATTCGGGTCCGATCCTACCCTTTGTAGGGGCAAAAATGAATACAGATCGAGTCATTTTTTTAAACTACAAATGGAATCTATACTTTTTGTCACTTAAAAATGACCATGTGTGGATCACGTGATGGATTCAAGGTAAAGTGGTCAAAAACTTAGGTTGGGACCAAATTTTATCGACTTGATTTTATAAGGGCCGTAAAGTTACTATTTTTAAAGTGAAAGACGAAATAATTCATTTGGCAAAATGTGAAGGATGTTTTGAACCATTTTCCCATTTGCATCTTAAGTCAAATGTTTAGACTTAACACGATTTCACAAATGCACTTATCACACTCTTTTTTCCTTAAGATTTATAAGTTGAAATTCCAATCAACTCTTAATACCAACAAGCAAGACGACGACTTTCTGAATTTTTCCAAATGTCAAACTGAGTTAGTAAAGAATTATCCATTACCCATTCCAGTTTTTCATCTTCACATTAAATAGGTGCACTTGTTGGACAAGAGATGGCGTTAGAATGACTTCAACATTCACAAAACTTCTCATCCTTTGACACTCCAAATAACAGTCTGCAACATCTACCATCCAACTTAAATGACAAAGAAGTGCAACATGGAAGCGGTAAGTAAAACAATCAAAATCGTCTTAAGATGCTTAAATAGAAAGAACATCTCATTTTCCTACAGAAATATAACTTCCCCAGATAAGTGACCATATATTAGTAAAAGAAGGTGGAGAAGACCCTAAGCCGACAAAAATTTATTCTGCCCTCATATTGTAATGAAATTCAAATCATTTAATACTTCAGTGTTTATTAAAAAAAAAAAAAAGTTGTGAAGGAGGGCATGAAAACATATGCAACCTAAGGAATCAATTAGTTGATCCATCAAGTTGCTGAAAACTAATTATGGATGGCATTGATAAGAATTCAAGAAAGATGGCCAATATGGTTATGAATTACCAGTAACATTCAGAGCACCACCAGCTGCTGCATTCAGAGCAAAACCTCCAGTATAGCAACAAATGTCAAGAACTTGTTGGCCCTCTGAGATTGTTGATAAAAATTGACGGTTTTCACGCTGATCAGCATAGAAACCGGTCTTCTGTCCATTCAAGGAGATTAAATAAGATATGCCATTCTCCAAAACCTGCCCAAAGGAAGAATAAGTGAATTAAAAAGACCCAATCTAGAATATGACCCACGCCAACTCTATAGTCACGAAGGTTTCAATCTCTTTCCAGAGAAGGAACCTCACTCACATCATGATAATTTCCCAAATTAACAATGAAGAAACACAGTTCAGGAAATTAAACAGAAGCCAAGAAATTTATGACATCTCATTTCACAGCAAAAAGCTCTGAATATCATGATACTAGCGAAACAAAAGGGCAACATGGAAGATGTAGTAGGCAATAAGTAGTAAACACAACTGTGGAGGAAATTGGAATAAATAATGCAAGAACCATATCCAGAAGGAAAATCTGCAGTTAACTCCATCCTAAAAATGGTGAAACTTTCTAAGTTTAAGCAGAATGTGGAAGCGTCGGAATCCAAATTGAAACCACATGATTCTCCGTTGCCAGAAAAACAGAGACAAGTCCTGGATTGAGTGTTTCTTAATTCTTAACTATATGAAAAAGAAAATAACAGATTGTCTTCTTACTTCCAGGTCATAATGTCATCTAATAAGAATGAGCTACAGCTCACAAATAAGACATGAGCCATGAAACCAAGATTAGAAGATTCTACACTTACCACACTGGTTCAATTGTATATATACATGTCCAATTCCTTTAAGTTCAAAATAATACAGGAAAAAAAAAATAACGAAATAAGTAACTGCAGATATGTACATATTGAGCTATCCACTCAATGTAATCCTTATTTGCAGATCATCAAATCACTTTCCCAGAACAGGATTTACCAAAAGGATGCTGCACATTAATATTAGACTCTTCTGGATTGCGATTTTCTGTATGTTGCAGAATTTCATTAATTGTGTCATATAGTCCAAAGAACTAAACTAAACAGCTCAGCACAGTGCTTTCTAAGAAACAATTTCTCCTAAAGGTTTTTTTTTTAGTGTGTGTGTGTGTGAGAGAGAGAGAGAGAGAGAGGGAGAATAAGCTGCTTTAGGCCAAACAAAACTCCAACAAATAAAAGAGACCAGGTATGGGAATATCTTACCTCAATCCTCTCAGGAGGTGCAGATAAACCACCTTCTGTCAAATCAGATAAACTCAACCCCTCTTCCTTCAAATACTCGAGGGATGGTCTCCAGCTTGTGTGGTTGATCTTAGTTGATCTAATGATGCAAGCTTGTATATAATGCTTGTACTTCTCAACCCAAGCAGCGGATGACGCTATAACAGCTAAATCTCCAAAAACATCAATGATAAGGCCCGACAATCTGTTGCAAATTAGGCGAAAGTGTAAGACTAAAATTACTAGCTTATGTGCATCACTGCATGACATAAAGATTTCAAAGTTATGGAAACGAGTCATAGACCATTTTCTAAGTTTCTTCTTCTTTTTAAAGATTCCCCAATGGGTTAAAACTTGTATTCCAACAAAAACGTACTATATTACACTACCTATTGTATTTTGCCTTTGCATTAAGAGATCTCCATGCACCACACAGCCAAACATATGAACGTCATCCCCAAGCAGCTCAAATCAAAGAAAACAGAATAAAAGTTGGAGACACAGAAGAAATGACACTGGAGAAAAGCAAGTTTACAAATGATTAGAGACTTTTGCATTAAGAAATATATAATTTGTGTTTCCCCAGACAAAACGTTCTTAAATAATGCACAGTACTAGGAAAGAGGTTAGTATCAAATTGAGAAGCATAAAAAGAACCATACCTATCTCCTTCACTGTTGATGAGACGGTATGCATTTGTATGAGCTGATGGAAGCCCTAAGCTCTTTCGCAGTTCAACAGCAGCACAAATTCTCGTGTCAAGTAGTTTCTCCACGTTCAATGCACAACCAGGGTCTCTGTCTCATTGACAAGGAAGGACATTATAAATTTGTCATTAGACACCTCCTGCTGCATCTTGGAAAGAGGAAACTAGAAGGAGGCAATTAAGAGGAAGAGAGACACCTGGAGGCTTCTTCCTCGAGTTGCATGAGGCGAACACAGAACATGGAAGCTGAATTATAGAAGCCCCAACCAATTGGTTTCTGGGTGCCATCCGCGACTAGGACAACGTCCCCAGTCTTGGGCGGTGGCCTGCCAATAATTCGATCAACTGCACCACTGTAAACCATTGGACAACCATCACGAAAGAGTTGAGTCTTGCCCTTCTTAAGCACCACCTTTGCAACGTCTTCCAAAAAAAAAAAAAAAAATCCATCCGTCCAATTGAGTTGACGAGATGACCTTTGGTTATAAGTTACATAATTATGACTAGAAAACTAACTGCACTAACTGAAGTATCCATTTGAATTACGAAGACCATTACATTCAGGCGATCCAATTTGATTAGCGGCTTAAGGAGACTCTCATGAATCATGAAGAGAATCCATTTTGTTTCATTTCTTTGAAGAATCTATAATGAGAAGGGGGGAAAAATGTGGATAATACAAATGAGTGCATTATGTGACCCCCAAAGTCAAACTCGCTTAAGAAAAAAGTAGATAAAGGAATGATTTTGATTGTCTGGAAACTGTATATGCAACAGGAATCCGAAAGGTGGGGTTCAGTGCTACTTCATCCTTCCAAGAAGTCCCAAAGTTCACTAACACTACATTGATATCCAAATGGATGGGGAACGAAGGACATGCGGAGATTAGAAGAGTAGAGTAGGTATAATTAGCACCGTAGACACCAAGGACAGAAGAGTAGGTATAATTAGCAGCGATTATCGGATTATGCATATAGTTGCAACTTTCAGGAATTATACTAGCTGTAGATTAGATAGCACAAGTTCTGAGCAACAAAGAGGGGATAGATTTTATTGCAGAAGCAGTACAGTAGTGTGTGTGTGTGTGTATATATATATTAGCGTTTGCTATGTAGAAGGAGAGAAGAAAAAAAGAAGACCTTTTGGGGAGTTGGAAGCTATCATTTGGTGAAGGAGCGTAGGGGCGGTGGGCGCTGTCTTGAGGGACAGAGACGTCTGCACCATCGCTCGACGCCCTCCAACTGCTGCAACTGTCGTCATTACCATTTACTACTCTATTTTGCTGATAATTTGATAGCAGAGAAAGCAGCCCTGCGGTCTGCAGACCGCCTGCTCCCCGCAATCTACTTACTAAAACGCTTTCTTCTTCAGTTGTTCTTCGGTTTTTCTCCTTCGGTTTCCTTTGCTCGCTGCTTTGCTGGCTTCCTCCAGCAGCATCATTCCTGAGTGTTCCCACCCCCACGCCCACCTTCTTGTCTCTGTTTTTCGGGCTTTCCGCTCTTTCATCTCCTCTGCTCTTCTACTATCACGGCCTTTTATCCAAGATGGGCTCAGTTTAGTCTAACAACAGAGTCGCAGCCCACCATCCAAAAGATCCCCACGTACACTGTCCCTGTTTTTTTTCTTGGGTGGGGGACAAATCCTGACAATTTGTTCTATCGACACAAATCAAAATTCATTTACAGCGAAAGGCTGAGCTTATTTCCCAGGCATCCCATTGAACCAAAACATAATTTTAAAAGACGCCCAACCAAAACACAACTAAACTGCTGCTTTTAAACGGTGTGTGACATTATTATAACTAGTGTCATACCTAATGTGCGTGCAATAAATTAAAATAAGTATATTTATCAAAATTATCTCTTTATAATATTCTCTTATTAGTTAAATTGAAAGATGATGGAAGTTGAGCAGATTACATGACAGTGGTGAGGGAGTTAGTGTGAAGAAAGTGGATAACCTCAACAAATAACTCTCCACTAATTGTGGGAGAAGTTTTTTTTAAATAAATTGGAATAAATTTACTCTTGTTATTAAAGGTAGACGAGAAATTTTTTTAAAAAAAAAATGACACTATGATGCTCATGCATTGGTAGATGTAAAATCTGGTCACGTCATCGGTTGTTGTGGGGGACAGAAATGGGATGCAAATATACCAGTGTGAATACCCGCGTTACATGCCGGTATTTACATTATTGAAAGAAATTAAAAGAGATGCTGAATTTTAAAAAAAGTGTATAGACATAATTAAAATTTAAGATTTGTCTAAAAATAGTTCAAAGAATGATAAAATGTGTAGAACATTTAAGGAATGTGTTTTTGCGGAAGATGGATCTTAATATAATAATATAAATTTTTTATTAGAAAATGAATGATATTTGGATTGAAATGAATGTAATCGCGTGTTTTATTTGATTTCAAAATGAAATACTTACAAATATTATGTATTTGATTTGATAATCTTGTACAAAGGTGCGGATATTTTTACACCAATCAACCTTAAGTAAGAAGGTCAATATTGGTGGTTTAATTAATTCTGTTGAATTTTGTGGAGTTCGTACTACAAAAAAAATGTTCAGTAAAATTTGTACTTTTTGAAAAGGGGTTTTTAGTATGGTTAACTCAGAATGCTTTCATTCTTTTTTTTTAATGTAGAATTTTGACTTTTTAAAATTATTATATATCTTTTCATGTATTTTGAATTTAAAAAGTGAGAAATGACTCTACTTACATAAGAATTTGATATGAAATCTATTAATGTGAGCATAAATAGGGGGGGGAGGGATGAGTTGGATGGTACCGGGGGGGGGGAAGGAGTGTAAGTAAGAGGTATTGGATTCAAATCCCCCTACTTATACTAAAAAAGAAAAGAGTCTAAATAAAAAGGAAACATTACCAAACCTATTAAAAATAAAAAAGTAAATAATAATATATTTTATCCTTCAATTTAGTAATTCTAACTAAAATGGTAAATTATATAGAAAATAAATAAAAAATAATATTCATTGCTCATGAATTTAAAAAGTCAAGGATGATACCATTCATGAAAACTAAAATATGAAATCACTAGCTAAACAACAAAATACTACTGTAATCTGAGCTGAGAATAAAGAGTTTGACGGAGGACGTGTGAGAGAGAGAATGCAAGAGAAGAAAACTGTGACCTGTTGTTATTACTTAATACAACTGTTGTCCTTGAACAATACAACAAAGTATAGTATGTGCTGTCCTGTCCTTGCAAAACTAAACTAACCCCCTGGATGCGGGGAAATCCTAACAAAAAATTCAATTCATGCGTCACATTTTGTACTTTACTCCTTTGCATATGGTACAAAATTTGGTGCGGCTAAAAACAAAGGGGCTACTACGGTCTAGAGCTGGTAAACGGGTTTTCCTTTTGCTTCTGTTTTCCTCTGCCCTTTTTTTTTTGGGGCTTATACGGCAGCATCCTTTATAGCCTCCTAGCTCTTTTTGCCATCTCCGCTCCAGTCAGAAGTAAATAAAATGGCACCCATCATAGCCTGACACAGAGATTGAGGTAAATAAGAAATACGTACTAAACTACTGCTACTAAGAAGTACTACCGCTCTATTCCACAGCCCGTATTACTGCGTACCAACAAGAAGAAATAGTAAAGTAGTGCCGCTGCTACTAAATACTCCCATTAGCAGTACTAATAGCAAAGCAAAGCAGGTTAGCAGAAGGAGGAGAGAGGGTTACTTGGATCCACGGTGACCAGCATTGCAGTCCCCCCGAATTCACAGGTCCCTCCCGCTACCTTAGTTCTCTGCCAATAGCTATTGAAGGCGTAGGATGCATGGGCCACCAACGTGTCGGGCTCAAAGCACGACCCGCTGGGCTGGATCTGATCGCATTCTGCTCCCGACGCGCATGCGTAGTTCATGGCCTCCTGGATGATTGGCCCTGGCACAGATGGCTTTGCCACGCACCAAAGGGCCGACGCGGGTTCTGTAAGCGGAGAAGGTGGCGGCACCAGCGGGGATGGGTAGACGTTGGGTGGCTGGTAAACTCGGGGGCTGCTGGGGGGGACAAATCCTCCTCCTCCTCCTCCTCCGGCGCTACCAGGTGGGTTTGGGACGTAACCGATTGGTGGGCTGGGCGGAGAATAATATGGCGCTGAAGGCGGTGGCGGGCTTGGAACAAATACAGATGGACTGGGAACATACGTCTCCGGGGGGCTTGGAGCTGCGATACTAGGCGTCTCCGGAGTCAAGGGAGGAGTTGGATATATAGATGATTCTGGCGGGCTAGGGACTGCGATACTAGGAGTCGAGGGAGGAGTTGGATATATGGATGATTCTGGCGGGCTAGGGACTGCCGTCCCAACTGGGCTTGGGGGTGGGCTTGGGTTGGGGAATGGGAATGATGGGGAGTAAGAGGAGGAGGGTGGCGTCGGCGGCGGCTGCATGGGGAGGGTCGTTGGAGAGGGCGGGGGCAGCTGGGGAGTGAATGGCGGCGGATTCACGCAAAATGGAGGAGTGTTTTCGAGGAGAGGAATGGGAGCCAGGGAATCATATGGCGGCAATGAGAATGGGGAACTCACCCCTTTCCCGTAAGGCTGCGTATTTGAAGAAGATTCATCCAAAGGCCTGACCATGTCCACCAGAATCTCCATCAATCCGTTCATATTTTTGGCTTTTGGGGGATTTGGAGGTCCAATCTCTCCTGAATTGTGCGTAGAAGCCCTGACTAATACATCATGAGCTGCTGCTCTTCTTGCATCTGCGCATGCAACTCATGGAATCAAATATTGAAGCAAGTTTACTTAAATACACAGAGACTCGCTTACTAGTTATTACTAAAATTACCCAACACAACACAGGTGTCTGTCTATATACAATATTTGGCAGCAGATATACAACTCTTCTAACAGTTGACTGAGACTGAGCAGCTAGCTCAGCTCAGCTTAGCTTAGCTGGTTGACTGACTCACTTCCTGTAGCTAACTCGTCTAATAGTAATATGCCTGCATCTTCTTCTACTACTTTGCAACACACGTACAACTGCAAAATGCAACTACTAATCCTTCTTCCCCAACAATGTCAATCAATTGCAAGGACAACAGGAAACGAAGGAATAAACTAACTGCAAGAACATACGTTCGTGGTACTCACCACAATGTGAGAAGAAACAAGCAGCAAGGCACAGATAAAGATGTACTACTAATTTGCAAATGAGTCTCCACCACACTCTGCATTTTCCCCCCATGATATGTATTGATTGATCTGACCAATTAAGAAAAGAAAGAATGCCCCCCCGGAGGCAATCGAGTCCTCCCTCTCCTGGTTTTAATTTGTACTTTTGTATGGAGGAGGAAGAGAAGCAAAATGCAAATGGAGCGTGTCAAGTGGAGTGGATGAGCATAATTAAGTAGCAGCGACTGCGAGGATATCTAGCCAAGAGAGCAACCGCGAGAGAGACGAGCGGTAGCCAACCGGCATGGGCATGTCGGCCCAAAAGACGATTCTTTCTTTCTTTATTTCCTTCCTTTTGCAGGACACTTCATCAGGAGAAAAAGAAAAAAAAAAAATGAAATACCCTATTCACTGCATGCTGCCTGCCTATGTAGATTGTAGATTGTAGATTGTAGATCAGAGGCGTGTGTGTGAGGTTTATGAAACAAAATTTAGGTGGCACACAGAACACACACCACCATATCCTTTCTCGATTAGTAGTAGTGTATTTCTTTCTGGTTACTGTGCGTAGCAAGCATATATTCTTGCTTCACCTCAGAAAAATGCCAAAGGTGGAGGAGTCTTTCTGGAGTCTTTTCATTTGCTTGCTTTCTACTCAAAGAGCTCTCTCCCCCTCTCTTTTTTTTTTTTTTTTTTTTTTTTTTTGTCTCAGATAGAATACACAACAAAAGAAAAGCCTGAGGAAAGTAGATCAACAACGGGAGCACGAGCGCATATATGGATGGTCTGTTCTGTTAATTACTGGTCAACATTAAAACACTATACGCTACTGTACACCGTCACATCGTCATTGCATCAATTCAGAATCTTCGAGAGTAACCCATCATCAATAATTCATAAATGATTGCCCTGCTGCTTGCCGCAAATTACTGCCTAGGCTCGTAGTACTACTACTAGTTTCCAATAATTTTTAATCCTCTGGTTTGATTTCCTGATGTCTGAAGTCTGCATTATTGATCAAGACCGTGTGACTCTGAGTAGGACGACAGACTCAGAAATTACGTACAGGTTTGTGAATTCTGAGCTAACCGGTTACTAGTAATTTGAGGTGATCACCATGATAACTTCACCGGGAATCAAACCAGATGCCATGCCCACTTTAGCATCACCGTTCTCTCACTCGCAGGTAGCAGTAGTAAAGTGCCGCCTAAAAAATATATGGCTGTTTATTAAGGAGTACTATTGTGAAACCCGATCTACCATGACGTTTGCACTCAAAGGCGCGATTGGGTTGTACGTCTTTACCATCCACCCACCGCCACCATACAGAGCTTGATCATTTTTCTCCAAGTGAGAGCTGAGCTTCTCTGCTTCAGCAGTTATAGTACTAGTTCCTTTTGACCTTTGACCTACCAATCCATCGGCAGAGAATTAGCCGGCTGGAGTGCTAGCCGATAATTCCCCTGTAAGCATTTGATGATGGTCGAGTAATCGGTCCAGCGACACGTGATGTCAGAATGCTGAAAACAGTAGGCTTTCTTTGGGGGTTAGTATTAGCATAATGGAATAGTTTCGGGAGTCAATAATTAATTTAAGATGGGGGGGGGGGAAATGTGCAATTCTGGAATCTCCCTCCGTCGACACAATTCAAATAAAAACCGAGAGCGCCTTTGATTCGTTCCTTCAACGGTAAACTGCTTAGTGCTCACCCAACATTCAAAGAAGACGAAGAAAAAGGAAACCTTTCTCGCCTAGTCGCCGTCGCCAGCCGTCACTCTACTTGTCTAGTGCCGTCCGTCGGTGTAGTGGTTGAATCCCAAGAAATGATGATGGTTCGGAGGTATCGCTAGTAGCAGTACTCACCATTTGTTGCTTCTCAAAGAAATTCATTTTCGATTTCAAAGTGCGAACACTTTTAGTCTGCTTCACTTCATGGTTATGAGTACTAAAGAAACCCTAATCTTTAGTAGTTATGAGTACTACTAACTATTATATATCTTCCTCATTTGATTGTTTGAAGGAAGGGTAATCCCACTCCCCCCCAATACATTCTTTGAACAAAAACAAGAAACTCTCTACCCTCTCAATCTGAAGCAAGAAAATATTTGTGGGAAAACAGCACCGGACGCACAAATGGTGGCCGTTGCAGTTAAGGTATTCCAATCCACTCTTCCATTTCGCTTCTTCCTCCTAGGAAACTACTTACTTCTGCTTTCATTTTTATTTCTCTTTGTTTTTTTCTGTTAATTCTTCGTTCAATTCTTGATTTCTTTCTTTCTGTTTCTAAGTGAAATTACTGCTTAAAACCACCAGAAGTTCAATGGACGGTATATGTCTTTGATGATATGCTTCTATTGAATGAATGAATCAATTTTATTAGGGTAAATCCAAACCTTCACATCAAGTCATCGAGGAAGACGCCAATAAGTCAACCAAGAAGAGCAACACTGGTGTTAATTCCTTTCTTTTTCTTTTCATTGAACCGTTAATTCGTTGACTTTACTTCAGTTGCTTAATTTTGTTCTTTATTTTATTATTCTTGATGCTCCCTTAACGTAGCCCTTGGAGGCCTCCCATCTTTCAAGATATTTGCAGAACCGCCACCACCATCTAATGGCGGGAGACGTTTGGGCAGTGCAACTGGCTCTCAGGTTTTAGCGTTTAGCTTCCTTTTTGTCATTAATCCATTTTAAATTTTTTGTCCAAATACTGCGCAATTTACATGACATGAATGTATTTGAGCATTTATGGTTTGTGATATACAGACTGATGTGTGCTTTTGTATGTGGTTTTTGCTGTTATTCAATTCACTACAAAGAGTGGTATCAAGAACTTGGAGAAGAACAATGGCAAGAAGGACAGTTCTGGTAAATTCCTGTACTTTTTTATGAGATATTGAATTTTGTGTCCTGGGAACTTAATTTGTGACCTCAACTCCTGATTCAGTGAAAGCAAGTATCGGAAGAAAAGTTTTGGCTGATATCAGTAATGTCAGGGGAAGCTTTTCAGGGCCTAAGGCACACAATAAATCCAAATCATTGTAAGTGAAGTTTGCCATTCAAAAAGTAGGCTTTCTGACAATTCATCTATCTCATGTCTTCCTTTAGCCCATTCATGGATCTAGAATCCGTGAAAGCCAAGGTGAATATTCGGTAAAACATGATTAATAAACCTGAAAATGGTTTATTTTTCCCTAATGCTTATGTCATGAAATTGTACATGCATATTAGCTTACAAAGCAAAGAACTACGATGTATTAGACTATATTGTGAGGGTTCTTATACACCACTAATTTAACATGTGTTCGCCATGAGGTTTAATACTGAAACACCATCTTTCAAAACAACCTATGCTTAGATCAGCAGTTTCAGAGGAACCATCTGTCATTTACCTTTCATCCCCCTTGGCATAATACCATTTTATAGCATTATTGTTAATTTGTCTTCCAGGTGTATTTCTAGGAATTCAGCGGCTGGCACTCAGGCTGGGGGTTGTTCATCAAGAATGCCTTTCACTGTATGCAAATCAAAATTGTTTCACGTGTAGTGACTTGTTTTGAGCTAATTTTGTGATGTTTCTTTTGACCTGGACTGCTTTTGTTATTTTCAAGAGGTATAATTGAAAAACTGAACTTTTCAGTATGCAACAGACACTGAATTTTTGTCATCATGAACAGGGAATTGTGCGGAACAACATGACTCAAGCTTCTGGAAGCCACCACACTGTGAACAAGGGTAAGACATTTACTTTTGAAAAAGATTTGAATAACCTCTTAATGATGTCATTTTCCTGTCTTGGATGGCATTAGCTGACAAGGATATAAAGATCACTTCCTCTAACGACCTTGGGACTTTCACTCGAGGGTGCAAATTCGTTGACACGAGTAGGTAAAGATGCTTCAGCTATTCTCGTCTATTGTTGAATTTGTACATCAAGTATGCTAGTGTATGTTTAGTAGATCCTAGAATATCTTCCTTAATGGAAGTCTAATCATTTTCTTTTCTCTGTATGTCAGGAAATCTCGTGGGGATTATCTGCCTCCAATAAGGTCCGTGGGTTTATGGACAATTCCTTGATTGATCTGTTAATTTTGGATCTCTTTCGTGACGTTGATGTACCTTTTTTTTTTATGTTGCTTGAAGGAAATCTTTCCCAGTAACAGAACAAGTCAAAAAGGTTCCTATGAATGGTACAAAGGAGGTAATGAAAATACTTATTTACTGCCTATTTGTAAAACCATTTATGGTTTGATTTTGAGCTGTAGAATAATTAGGTCCTCCACTTTAGTATTGATGCTCTTTCCTTTGCGGATATCTATGCTTTCCTTGTAGGAATCTACTGAAAGCTCTGAGAGGCGTAGGGGAAAATATGGATTTCAAGGTGAGATCCCATGAATTGCTATGTCCACATTTTCAGTAAGTGCAAAAAAAGCAACGACATTATTAACAGTCTAATGTGCTGTACCCTTTGTTGCTTTCAGTTAATTCCAAAGTTGGCAGAAATGTGGCTTCCCGAGTGCACAACTCTCAGAATCATCTCCAGAAAGTTCGAGTTAGTGATGGATACATGGTTATGTAAGTCATTGCTTCTAATCCGCTTTAAGACAGTTTTTGCTCTTGCAACAGAATTCATGCTTCACAGCTATTTCAAATAATTCTCTTCAGGGTTTTGCAAACTGTGACCAGAAACTTTATTTGCTTTTTCGTCATATTGCGTTTCTTGTCTTCTGATAATTTGGCTGGCAAAAAGCTTAATTTTCATGTCTTGTAAGTTCAACAAGCATAGTTTGAGTTTTGGTGTAAAATCAGTTTTTGTCCATGTGCTTAAAAGATTCTATTGTGAATCATTCAATTTGTATTTCTCTCCTTACAGAGCTGGAATATTACTTATGCAGACATTATGAATAGGTCCATTAGAATTATAAGCCTTAACTCTTTGGCCAAGAATCTTACAGAGAGAGAGTGTGTGATAAGAACAAGGTTCTCTCAAAATTAATACATCATATGAATAACTGCATTTAAAACCTTGAATTCAGGGCTTCAAGAGGTCAACGTAACTCTAGACCTGGAACATTTTCAAGAAGATCTGTCAAAGTAAGTGAATTATTATTTTTTATCTTCGAACTGTGTGACTATGTTGCTGTTTTTATTATTTTTTATCTTCAAATTGTGTGACTATGTTGCTGTTTTTGTTGTTATGTTTATGCAAGCCAAATGCGGAAACACGTTCACCATCCCAAAGGAAAATGATAGAATTTTAAGCACATTAGATTAAGCATGAGAACTTCTCATTTCATTTCAACTTATTACCTTATATATAGCAGAAAATGAGTCTGCTCTATGCCACTCTAGAATTCTTCCCAGCATTATAATTGCTTAAGTTATGTGTTGACTCTGTTTCTTGCGGAAACCTTTGATATGGAAACTCTGAAGGGTGAGAAGGCTTTTGTTAAATATCTTGTAGAATCTTGAAGGAAGTTTCCTTATGCAGGTCAGGTAGGAAAATATTCTGTAAAAATCATGAATTTTTGTGATGTCATTTGATGCAGATATGGATACTCTTTACCGATTATTATGTACATTTTCTTCTGTCTCTCTTTCTTCCCCAGTGTATATTTCTATGTCCACCTCTCTCTGCAGCCCGTAGGCACACTTTCAAGTCTGCCCTCCCTTTGTAGAAGCTACATGCTATTGTTCATATTCCAATCAGGATGTACTCGAGTTTGTACATGGAATATTTTTCTTGGTGATTCAATGCGGGGCATATTAGGATGGTAATTACCATCAGCACCACGTCATATTTGCATCGACTGGTCTATTTTACAGTTCATTAAAAGAATAATTTGGAGCATATAGTTTCCTTTCCTAAACTAGATATTAATTTTAAATGGATGTCTAGGTTGAAAGGACCTTAAACTCACATGGTGTTTGTGGCTTCAATAAGCCACCTGCTGGTTCTGCTGCTTCGTCCAACAGAAAGGAGGAAAAGGCCAAATGTTCTTCAACAAAACATGTTGCATCAGTAATTCCCAGTGGACAAACTGCTCAACACGATGTTTCTTCTTCTAGCAAGAGTGACTCAGATAGAACTACAGCAGATAATGTTTCTAGGAGAAAACCTGATCGAAGAAAATCTTTTACTTCTTTACTGATGTCACAATCAAAGGTCACTGCTGGCCTTTTCTTCCTATGGACTTCTGTTTCATCCTGCTAGAGGCTTAAATGTCTTCATATTTTTCTGCCGCTACTAAAGGAACCTGAATTTCCCTTGTAGGATGATTTGCCAAATATCTATGATAATCATAATCCTCTTGAAGTTACTGAATATGTTGATGACATCTATCAGTATTACTGGGTTTTGGAGGTGATTTTCGACCTCATTTCTTCATTATGTTATTTTAATTCTACCTGTTAATGTGATTTCCTCCTGGAGTTATAGACACATTCAAAGCATGTCTATAAATGCAAGGTTAATTTTTACTTTTTTAATCACATCAATGTTTTTGTCTAACATTATGGAAATTGGCTCTTAACACAGGCACATAATCAGCCGTTGAAACATTATTTGGATATCCAGAGTGAAATTACACCTCAAATGCGTGGCATATTGATCAACTGGCTCATTGAAGTTTGTTTTCTTATGATAAACATTTTCTTAATGCTTTTTGAACTTTTTTCCTGTTTTTTCTTATTACCACCTTTTTTTCAGGTACATCTAAGGTTTGATTTGATGCAAGAAACACTTTTTTTGATGGTTACACTATTAGACCAATTTTTATCCTTGGTAAGCATCGGGAAGAACAAAATGCAGTTAGTTGGCCTTACTGCACTCTTGCTGGCATCAAAATATGAGGATTTTTGGCATCCAAGGGTAAATTTATGCATGAATACAACTTCTGCAAGTTTCTTATACATAATATACTGTTGTGCAATTGAGGTAGTTCATGAAGGGTCAACTTTCTTTGGTTCTTGGCTACAGATCATGGACTTAATTGGCATTTCAGCAGATTCATACACAAGAGATGAAATGCTTGGAATGGTGAGTGAATTGCATGTTTACAATATTTATCAGCAGGTTTTGATCTAGCATCTCCAAGTAGGTATTCAAATAGTACAAGTTTGTGCTTGTTTGCTCTTGGTAGACCAGTCAAGCAAGGCACTTTCTTATATAGTACCTGTCTTCTTTCTAGGAGAATACTTTTCTAAAGGCACTCAAATTCCGTCTGAATTCACCAACTCCGTATGTCTTTATGCTACGGGTCCTTAAGGCTGCTCGATCAGATACAGCGGTATGTCACAGACCTTTTCCAATGTAGGTTGATTAAACAGACTGTTTTCAAGGATCTTTAATAAGTGCTTCAGAAGGGTATCATTTCGTCTGTATTTTTGGTGTTTGTGGATCACATCTGTAACTTTCTTATCTTTTTGCCTTCCTAGTTGTTTTGATGTTGGTCCCTAATCTGTAACGTCTTTTGTCTATTGGGATTTCTGCCAGTTTGAACATCTTGCCTTTTACCTCATCGAGCTGTGCTTAGTTGAGTACGAGGCTTTGAAATATAAGCCCTCATTGCTATGTGCATCAGCCATCTATCTCGCTAGATGTACAATGGAAATGAATCCAACATGGACCCCGCTGCTTGAGAAACATTCCGGCTACAGAGAATCTCAAATCAGGCAGGTTTTTGCCAGTTGAATATTCTTTATCAGGTTGTATATATCTATCGTGATTTAATCATTTTCAAATTGGAATATTGCAGAAGCTGCGCAGAGATGATCTTGAAATTTCACAAAGCTGCTAAAACAGCTATGCTGAAAGTAACATATGAGAAATACATGAGGTTTGAGTTCGGCAGGGTTGCAGCTATAAATCCAGTAGAAGTGCTTCCCCAGTGCAGTCATGAAAATCAATGTTACAAGAATTGAACAGAGCTAAAATTTAGATGATGGGCTGCTTATATAATGAGCTGAAACCAAATCCATTGTAATCTTGCCCAGACATGCGACTCAATTGTCGCTGAAATTGTTGAACATAGATGTTGTATTGAGAAATATGATTCTAAATGGTAGGAGCCAGACACTGGTTTGGACGTATTGTGCACTATAATTAGATTGAAGCCTTATATCGGACCTGAGCGACACCAGTTTTACTCCGCAGGAGGTGTACGCTTGGTAGGAAATAAAGCAAAAGGCCAGCCTGAAAATGACTATCATCCAATTTCAATGTGGCAACAAAATGTGGAGTGCTGTTCAAGCTGAACTCCGTGGTGCTTACAGACAATACGAGGAGTATATATATCACTAACTGCAGATGATAAAGAAGGGACAGCTCTAAGCTAGAAAGACAAGTGAAAATTGCATAGCCCAACTAATAAAAATTTGCACACACTGTGCTCTCTTTGATCAGTCAGAACATTAAGACGGCTCGGTAAAGAACTCAAAGATGGTGATTGTTGATGGATACCACTACATTGCAGACAGAGACATAGAGAAAGTTCTAGAGAAAAGAGGAACTGAACGAAATTGTAACAGCAGAAAAATAATAGACATCGGCAGGCTTTATTAGAATCAACAGTTAACAGAAGCTATACATGCCGCCATTCGAATCTTATTAGCAAAACAATGCCGAAATCCTTCAGCACAACTACAAAGTATATAATCGGTATACGTGCGTGTGTACTCGTGTTCCTTTGCTGAAGTTATCGTGAACTGCCAAGTGACGCTGACACTGGCATAGAATAATGCATAGCATTTGCATTTGCGTGCAATAACTAATAGTAATAATGCCCTGAAATACGTGTTCTCTATGAACAAGGAATTAAGCAATCTTGAGAAATCAACGATGTTTCTCTGTCCAAAGTCTCCTTGACGGCTCGGTAAAATTCAACCCAGGAAGAAGAATGCACGTCGGCAGGTCCCCAGAGAAATGTAGGATTTGGGCTGGTAGGACACGAAGCAACCAGGTCGAGCACAGAAGCCGCAGGTTTTAGGGGCTGTGGGAAGTTGAATGCCAAGTTATCAACTTTGTGCTCGTAGATTTTACCGTTGCGGTCCAGCTTATACCTGGAGGTGGCCTGGAATTCCCCCCTGGCCTCCCAGGGGACCCGAGGAACACCCCTCAAGTTCCATCTGATCAGAATCAAATTCTCAGACGGCTGCCAAATCCTAAGTACTTGAAGTGAAATCTCCCTAAACAAGATTCTGCCGTGGAATCTCAAAGCCCAGAAGATCAGTTTGTACTTTTCAATCCCAGCGAAGGTGTTCAATGGGTCCACGAATGTGATGTCATCCCTGCTCCTCCGAAGTGCCAAAAGGAAGGAATTTTAGTAGAGCACTTGCTACCAATCCATTATTCAGCTGATACAGTATTTATATATTTATCCACAAAAAGTGTGGCCAGATTCTAGTTACAAAGGAAGCATGAGTTGAAAGAATTAAGTGGAAAAGGGGAAAAGATTACCTATAAATGCCATAATTGAGGTCTTTGGTGAAGAGGAGAGGGAGGTCTTCCCTTAGGGTACGCACAGCCAGACCCAGGTTCACAAAGAAATCATCCCTGTGGTCATGTTCATGCTGCTTATTATCCTGAGGAGAAGCAAGAGCAACGGCAGCAGTCGCGGTGGCACAGGTGGTGGGGTGGTGGAGGAGTAGGTGGGGGCGGGGGTGCTGCAGCTGCTGCTTGGTGGGAACAGAAAGAGAGGAGGCCTGCCTAGGAGGCGGTGGGGGTAGAAGCAGAGGAGGAGAGGAGGGGTGGAGTGATTTTTCCTTGGAGTGGATGATTGTCGGGGAGAGGTTGGGCAAGATATATGCCATCCCAGGGCTAAGTAGCGATTTGGCAGAATTTGTGTTCTTCTTCTTCGCCTGTGCTTTGATATACCAAAATTAAATTAAAATAAAGTCCCAACTGACAATTTATGGTGGGACTAATATACTGTAGTTCTGAAACGAACGCAGACCTCTGTATCTATTATCTTTTGATGATGAGGAGGGTCCTATTCGTATCTATCTTCGAGGCCAAACAGACAGACTCTCTCCTATCGCGTCGCAGGGCGCGCAGCAGAGAGAGAGTATCGACGAAGAAGAAATGAGAAAACAGGAAGACAGAGCTGGTCGATTTTTGCATATTTTGTTGTGCTCCGGAGAAGAGTCGTAGGATTTTGAGTGGTTTTGATTGAAGGATGCCACGACACGGCTGCATTTGTCAAAATTCAATCTTTCAGTTCCGAGTTCGACACCCCCATCTTCCATTTGGTCTTCTTCAGGATATGTAATGTAACCAACCCATTTTACACTTTTGGGCCCTGGAAACATATGTCAGTCCAATTAATTAGATTAAAAAACAATAGCCCATTCGCGTGGCCTTAACTCCCTCCCCCTCTTCCACGTCAAAATTATCTCGCCTGGATTGAGAATGACTCGACCCACCGTCTTTGGATAATTGAGTAGAGTTTCCAGTCCCGTTAGGATTGCGCATTCTTTTTAACCGAACAAATTTCTCAATTACTTTTCTTACCTCAAAGTTGGTGATTCTGCAGAGACTCTAATTTGTTGCCTCCCAAGAGACCAGACCAACCTATACCTATAGTAAATTTTCCTTCATCACTAATAATACACTAGCGTATTAGAATTTACAATTGTGGCAACTCCCGTTTCTGTTTGGTGGGGGTCGAACAATGGCACTCTAATCTAATCGACCCCCAGTAGTCCAAAGAGAGCAACAATAATGATAAAAACAAGAAAGAAAAAAAAGGTAAAAATCTACTGCTGCTTAAGAATTGCATCAAAAAAACAAAAGAATTGCATAATAGCAGCGGTAGTATTTCGTAATTTTGCTTAGGATCGATCAGAAGGTGTAGGGATGTGAGGGAGGAGGCTCAGAACATTTGATTGGTAACGTCATCAACAAAGCCCTCTGAAGAAGCTTTTCAGAGTTTGATGGTATTTCCCGCATCACTGCCCCCTCTTCTTCTCCTTTTCAAGTCTCAACAGCTACCCACCACCCAAAAACCCCCCCTTCCTCCCCCCCCCCCCCCCAAAAAAAAGAAAAATAGAAAAACTCTCCCAAGAGAGCGCAGGTCTGCGGCAATTTTGGGAGACTCACTGGAGACCTCAGAATATAGGCTTTAAGAATCATCAGAGAAAGGATCTAAGTGAGATCCTCAATCAGATGGTACGGACAATTTTACCAATACATCACAGGTCCCAAATGTGCGTGTGTGCGCGCGGACTAAAATATTAATAAAGAAAACTGAAAACATTTGGATCTCACGTATGGTTTTACTCTTTTGCTAATGTTAGTGCGTGTTTCTCTCTGGAGCCGCTTCCGGCGATGGACCGACGGACGGATGTTGCTCTCATCCAAGTCCTGGAACCGGAGGACGACGACTCTGAGTTTCGGTAATGGCTGTACATACACACACACACACACACATATATATATATATATAGTACTACTCCACCAACCTATTATATATATATAGTAAAAGGAGGCGCGACTCAGAAAACCCTAATTCATATCTTGTACCGCTCAAATTACCAAAATGCCTCCCCCTCCTCTCACTGGATTTATTTGTACGGCCCACCAAATGGCCAAATCCTGCTGACTAATAAATAAATACCAGGGATAATTTCAGAAACCTCCCTCAAGGGAGGTTTCTGACAATTTCACATAGCTCCTTCCAATTTTAGAAAATTACACTAACTTCCCTCAGTTCAATAAAATGACTACAATACCCTCTACTTAATAGATAATTTATCACATATGTGGAATACAAAAACCAAACCAAAAGTAAAAGAAAAATATAAAAGCTTGCAATAGCTCATCATCATTTCCAAGTTCCAACCCTATTTTAATTAACAGCAGTTTCTTTTCTCTTTTCCTCTATTTTTTTCAACCTCTTATGATTCTCTCCTTCCTACTTATAATTGCACAGTCTCCTCCACCCATCAATTACACCACTATGCAAACTTATCATAAGTGTTTATTTCTTGTCTCTTTCTTTCTTTCCGCAGTACTTAACTATCAGTCCCCTCGTTTATTTCTTCTCGTATTATAATTTGCATATATTAAAGAATTAAAATTTCCAAAATTACAAATTGATGGAGCAAATGAAAATTTCATAGTCAAATTAGATGGAGATGATGAAAATGGTTGTGATATAGAAGGAAAAAAATGAAATTAATGGATTATGATTGGAAGAGAAAAATGAATGATTTTGGGTTATGCTATTATGTCTATACACACTAGAATCTAATATCTTTATTTATTTTTATTTTTGTTTGATTTATAAGTACTGATGGTGGTTTGTCATAAAAGTTAGTTTCTCTATTCATAACGACATTAGAGTATGGGATTGCTCTTGGCAGAAACATCAATAGTGGTTGGCCAGATCTTCTGTTCAAGGAATGTGATATGAGATAGGTGTTGGGTTAATAATTTGCGGAGTGAGATTAGCCAATAGACAAAATATAGTGTTAATTTGAAGCGGGAAGCTTTTGAGAGTATTTTAGTTGATGGTGGTGGTTATGGTCTATTTGTAAAGTGATTCGGGCAGAGTTTGGGATTTTAATGATGCCAAAATTGATAGAATTTGGGAATTAAATTGGAGTTTGCTTGAATGGGGGTGATGAGATTTTGGGTTTACAATTATCGTGGAAGCATAGCAAATTTAGATAAAAGTGTTTGCTACTTTTTTTTTTTTAGTTAAATTGATCACTAAGCCTTTTTTTTCACTTTCTTTTGATGTTATGATATTGCATAAGGGTATTTTAAGATACTTATGTATAATTTTAGCCTAATGGGTCTATAATGTTACTTAAATAGTAAAAGTAAGGGAGATCAATGTAATTTTTTAAAATAAGGGAAAGCTGAGTGAAATTGTTAGAAATCTCTAAGGAAGGTTTCTGAAATTATCCCTAAATACCAATTGAAATCCACCCCTTCGACCTAAGCTTTGTACATAACAAATAATGTTTGTTAGTACTTCTGTCGGGCTCTTATAGTAGTTACCATATGCTCTGAGCATTTGGATGGGAGTTTATTTTAAATATTATTTAGAATAATTATTCAACCATTTTTTATGATAAAAAGGGGATTGAGAATTGTAATTGTGATGCAAGCAAACAAAATAATATTTTAAAAAATAGGTTGCTATTCAAACCCACTCATTGATATTATTACTAAAACAATGGATTGGTTATATATTTTTTACATCATCAATATAACTATTGTTTCGACCACCCCCCACCCCTCCCCAAACGCAAAAAAATTAGATCAGGTTTTCAGTGTGATTGTTGTATATTATACAATAATCGAATGAACACTAACATTACTTTTGTTATACATGAGAATTTTATTCATGTACATCAATTTAATATGTGAAATAATTATGCCTGTAAATGTATATCAACTTTTTTTTCAGAAAAAAAAAACAACAACAATTAATCCGCCAATTATACCTTACCCAAACCTGCTTAAGAATGTGATTATTACAAACCATACGACCATTCATAAAGGAAAAAAAAGAGAGAGATAAAAGTATTCCATCAACTTTTATTTTTTATTATTATTATTATTTTCAAAAAAAAAAGAGAGAGAGAGAGAAAGAAAAGTCTAGCGTGTTTGGATGGTGAGGAGATTTAGACCTTGTTCTTGTGTTCCGGTGTATGAGTGAATTCGAAGTCTACGTGAACAAAGGCTCTCTCCACTTGGGGGAGTTGCTCCAGCTTTACTTGCAAGGTTTCGCCGATGTTATGGGCTTGGCTCAGCAGCATGTCTTCAGGCAACACGATGTCAACCTCCACGAAGTAATGCGATCCCAGAGCGTAGGCTCTCACGGTGTCGATGTGCTGTATCTCTTGGTGGTGGTTCCATATCAGATACGTTATTTTTGCCAGAAAGTCCGGCGGAGCCGTTCTTCCGATCAGTGACCACACGTTCTCCACCACAGTCCTTGACCAAGTGCTGATCGTGTACACAGCTATCTGCATCATTCCTCCCGTTTCATCATTTCATTATTGCAGAAGTACACATATGTATTTTAACCAAATCCAATCACTCACCAATATGGCGCCAGTAGGATCAATCCACCAGTAGAATCGTATTGCTAACACGGCTGTTACTAAACCCACCGAGTTGGTGATCACATCAAAAAAATGATCTTGAGCATAGGCTCCAACTATTTCATTTTCGAATCTTCGACAGTAGACCATCAGCAGAAACTTCACCAGGGTCACAGAGACCATTATTCCAATCATCCACTTCTCCTTCTCGTGATCAACTTCAGGACTTGACTGCACCGTAGAGAGGGGGCAGCGAATTAAAGAACCATCCATATGATTTATTGAAACTTTACAAGCAAGCTAGTATTCACTCTTTCAAAGTTCTAACATGATTTATTGAATGACAGCAGCAGCATGCATATGCATGCATGAAGCTATTATGCAACATGGATACCTTGGAAATCAGCTGCTTAACAGACTCCAGCAATACTTGCAGTCCTAAAGTTGCCATGACAGATGCGAAGACTATAATGCCCTGAAAGCAATGCAGTTTGTTAGTAAAAAGAAATGACATGTAAAGCAGCCCGTTGAAAAAGAAAAATCATTCGAAGGCATCACAATCGATATAAGATGGCACTTGACTTTGACGCAAGAGACGTGCATCAGCTCATTTTGTCTTCTCGTACAAAACACAGAATCTCAGGATTTTTCATCAGCTAACTTTTGCCACAATCAAAGTCTATCCTTGTAATCCTCTTTCAACCAGTTGTAGAACGTCAAAAAGGTTCTATCCTGCTACTACATACGTATATGGATTTCACAGGACAATACAAGAGAGCATAATGACTCAAACAAAGTACGAGGTTGAGGCACAAAGACGTCAGCAAGAAATAGCATCTTGTACATACAACATACCAGGAAAAAAAAAAAAACTTTTTATACAGATATCACAAGAGCAAATTTTTCCAGAAAAAGAAAAACATTAAACGGAATCCTATCGTTCAAAGCACACTGAACTGTGCGACTTACCACTGGTTGCATCCTTTTCTTTCCAATTGGATAGTGGTAGTGGTTTGGGTTTTTCATGGCATTAGAAGTGAACCAGAGAATGCATCCAGATAAAAGATCCAGGAAGGAATCCAGAGTTGATGCAATTACAGCCAAAGATCTGCTCTCAACAGAAGCATAAACTTTTGCTATAAAAAGGACCATGTTAGCTATATTCGAAACATGAATTGCCATCCTTTCACTCCTAGCAAGCTGCTTTAGTTCATCCTGACAGAAGTTTTGGTGATTCAGTAAAAGAAAGGATATCTTTGTTGTCACAAACAAATCTCATTTCTTGGCCCCTGGCCTCTCTATATAACTGTACATAGTGAAGTCATACAAGTCACTAAGATGACCATAACAATAGCAGTAATTGTAAGACAGAAAAAGGAGCCCAAAAGAAAAACGAAATAAACAAAGACCAGCGATCATCACAAGCAATTTTTTAAGCTAATTGTTCCAGAAGTCAGAGTTAACCAGGCAGTTGGCCTAACAGTCACATTAAAAGGACACATAAAATACTGGAACAAAACCAGATAAACTGGCATTTTGCTGTGTGACAGTATCATCCGCCCCTAGGGGGTGGGCTAAAACACAAGCTCTTTTGGACAGGACGCCATAAAAGCTTGGTCTAAAATGATCCTCATTTTCATCATCAGAAAGTAACCTTTTTTTTTTTTAGGTGTGATTACAAGAGCAACAGTGAGTAGATGCAGCAGCCAAAGACAAACCTCCGTCAGACTTCCGTGCAAGCAGCCTGATTCATTAATGGTCTCCATCTCATTGAACCCTTCGAGGAGCCTTTCCTGCTTCTTGTAATACTCTGCAATTTTGCCTTTTTTCCCTAGAAAATGAATGTAGAAGGAAAAGCAAGATAGTAAGATATCAGTTACAGTTAGAGTAATTTACCAAAAAAAAAAAGAAGTTACAGTTAGAATACAAATTATGCTAGGAGTCGATGACAGATACCACAGTTGTGATCTTGCATGATCATTTTGATGGATGAAAACCTTCCTAAGAAAATCATTGCACTAGTATTTAGTGAAAAAAAAAAAGGCGGCAAACCTCATGAAACCTGATGGGGTTGTATTGTCGGTCGTTAAGTGGGGCCTGTAGTAGCAAAGTTTTAACTTGTCGAGGGGACTAGAGAAGCTACGCTGTCAACTAGTATCAGTCCTCTAGTCCTCTTTCTTGAATTAACGGAGGAGGAGAAGGGCGGATTGCAGATAAAAACCAATAAGACCAGCATAACAACCCATTCCAGAAAATGAAAATACAAAAAATGTGCGTGAAGACAAACAGGATAAAGGAAAGAATCGAAGTGGGGTTTTGGACGTTTCATGTGGTGCTGATCAAACTAGTAGTAGTTTCCATCCTAAATACACAAGATTGCATAAATTTTTTTTTAACAAGAAAAAGGTAGAGCTCTTGATCATGATCACAATTTTGGAGACTAATTGGAGAGAAGCCTTGGGCCTCTTGTGGATGAACAAATAAAGAAAGCAATAGTATCCAGAAAAGCAATACAACACGTACTAGTACTACTAATAAGCGTTAGTGCGGTGTTGGACCGAAAATGGATAGTCCATAATGATTTGAAATGAAAGAGGGAAGGTGCAGCACAGCATAAATAATTAAATACTAGTAGTAGTCTTTCAGAAAGTCAAGGCAAACAGATGTTCTGCTGTCAACAGGCGACGTGCTTTTACTACTAATTCCTTCACAAAAAGTGCACTGTAAATAAACTGCAGTGTTAGCAGATCTAATCGTGGGGGCAGAGGGCATATTCGAAGCATTACATGAAGTATCCGGGACCCTTCCAATCCGAGAGGGGAAGTAAAGTTTAGTGAGGTAATCGATCGGGCTGAGCCAGCGACCCGCCGCCCAACCACGATGATCCCGTATTCTAGTTTCCCAAAACTCCCCACTCAACCCCGCCGATTAAGTAGTAGTGGTAGTGCTAATAAAATTCTACTGTAGTAGCAGCAGCACTGCAGCACTGCAGCAGCAGCAGTAATAATAATAATAACAGCAACAATAATGAAGAAAGGAAGGGATTGAAAAGTTGAAATGGTAAGAGGAGTAGTGAAGGAAATGATAAATGATGGGGTCGGGGTCGCAGCAGGAGGAAGAGGTTGGAGAGATTGAGCTTTGCATGCATGGAAATGCAAAAGGAAGACTCAAAAGGGGGGAAGGGGGTGGGGTGTTACATACATATATATATATATATATATGTGTGTGTGTGTGTGTGTGTGTATACAGCCGTAATCGAAATTATTACAACTGACAAACGATAATGAAAAGAAAAAGAGGAGAGTGAAAGGGGACAGTTATATAAATTTGTAAAGTGGCGGGAAGAAGTGGTAGTACTGACTTTGGGGGCAGAGGCGCGGGAAACGGAAGGAGCGATGATGATGAGGTTGTCGAGGCAATCGGAACTCGTCAATATTGAGTTTCCAGGAGGAGGAGGAGTCATGGTGGGTGGAGGTGGTGGATTCAAATGGAGGAGAGGGCAATTCTCGGCTTGAAGATTTCAAGGAATCCGATTCTCCGCTGTGGGCAACTCTGCCAGTCAAGACAGCGGGGTTGGGACCCTTCATATTCTTCTTCTTCTTCTTGAGATTCTAGTGCTGCTACCATCAAATAAATAGTAAAAGATATTTTCCAGCTTATTAATCACCACACTATAATTTGCCCCTTTTTCTTGCGGTCGGAACCAACTCTCTGTCTCTCTTTCTCTGTGGGGGGTCGTTTAACAAAGATAACTACTTTCCCAGCAGGAACCAGGAATAGGAATAGGAGTCTGGGGGGTCGTTTAACAAGATAACTACTTTCCCAGCAGGAACCAGGAATAGGAATAGGAGTCGGAGTTATTTTAACCTCTACAACTTCAACTTTACCCCCTTTCCCTTGAAACTTTACAAGTGTGTGTGTGTATATATACACATTTCCTCCACCGCCGCTGATGCTGATGCTGACGCTGACGGAGACAACTATATATACATTCGCTCTTAATTAATTACCAATGGTAAGTTCAATCATGTTGATCGATGATCATCAGTTAGAAACTCAAACCTACTCCTCGTGTCATAAATGATCATCATCCATTCATGTTTTCTTTTGAATTTCATTTCATTTCCTCGCCAAAACAACTTACTAATATTATGATGTATTGATGCCTGCGTGTTTCATTTTTTTGTGATGCCATTTTAAGAAAACCAAAAACGAATACTAACAAATCCATCACACACCACGCCTACACGGCACATGAATATGATCATGGCGGTGGATTAGGTACTTTCATTAGCATATATATACATATTTTTTTGAAAATAAAAAAGATCATTAAAAGTGTCGTGGGGTCTACTCGGGCCTGTAATTTAAGCCTCTCTTTCTGCGCATCAACGTCATCATCAAAGACATAAAACCCCAACTGCCCCGCTGATTAGGCTTTTTCTATGCATCATCACCATTCTTTTTTTTTTTTTTTTTTCGAAAACGATAACTATTGTATAATTTACCTGTCTTAAATTGTAAGAAAGGAGAGTCTAAAGAGACTTTGTATTAGAGATTATGAGATACACAGAATTTATTAGATCATGGGAATGTTTTGACACAACTTTTAGATTTTTTTTTATTATAGATAAAATTTGAACTTCCACCTATAACTCAACGAGCAGGGTCTTAAGGTGAGACCCACCTTGATTATTTTCATGTATATATATATATATATATATATATATATATATATATATGCATAAGGGATTCCCACTACTAGAAGGGGTTGAGAAAAATGTGTACTACGGATGCAGAAGGGGTTGAGATCATTTGAATGATCATATGATTATTAGCAATCTAAGCGACCACTACTACGCTCTCTATCTCATCTATATAACTGTTAATGTTACACCGCCCAATCTACAACACTTTCACTCTTACTCTTACTCAATGTGCCCTTTAATCTTCGAATTCTGACTCCATGAATTTAGGCTAGCTATTGGATGAATTTTTTTCCTTTTTTTTTTTAAAAAAAAAAGAGAAAAAACAAGAGAGACAGAGAGAAATAGGACAAGTGGGTTACACTTACACTACTACTATTGGTCTTCTTTTTTTTTTTTTTTTTTTGAAAAAGAAAAAAAAAGAAAAAAGAAATGCATGCAAGGAATAATACTACTATATAATACTCCACAAATAATAAGGGAATCTAAAAAAATGTAAAGGAAGAAACGCGAGGGCATAAATGATAAAAGCGTGGGTGCTTCGACGCGCCATCTCTCTCTCTCTCTCGGTTCTTCTGGTGGCTGACTCTTTCTCCCACACACCACAAAGACAGCCACACACACAGCAGAGAGGACACACAGAAATCGAAGAAGAAAGGCAATTTGCAAACGCTGCTGCTGCCGCTGCCGCCTCTGTGTGTGTGTGTGTGTGTATGGTGCGATACACAGACAACTGGACAAGGCAAGAGTAGCAATTTGCAAGAAATACGCAGAGAGAGAGAGTAACAGTCGTCACCAGTTGGGAGCTAACCCTAGACTTTATTCCTCATATCACCCTTCGTATAATTCTCTGCTCTCTCCCTCATCCACTCTACTGAAGCATGGTCAGTTTCCTTTAATCTTTGCTCTCTTCCCCGCCCCCGTTAAGCACATCCCTTTTCTTTAAAGTTACAAACTTTCTGCTTCTTTTCCTAATTTTCTTTCTCCGCTCCTTTTCTTTTTTCCGTTAGTATTGATTTTTGTTGTGGACTGACGTTTTAATCTTTATATATCAAGCTGGATTACTATGATTCTCTGCTAATCATCAAATCCATGAGTTCGTCACTCTCTTTGGCCTCAAATCTCTCTCTCTCTCTCTCTCTCTCGCAAAGTAGTAGTAGTAATTTTGGCGGGCGAGTGTTGATTATTTATTTATTTATCAGATCAATCGTATTGGTTGATGACATTCATATTTGCATTTTACCAGAACAAGTTGGGCAGAGGCCACAGGGACAAAGTTCACCAGTTTATGACCATTACTGGCACTAGGTGGTTTTCCTTTTTTCTAATACGAATGTTATTTATCTCTTTCTATTGCTGTGCTACTAGCCCACATCATGTTTACCGCTTGAGTTTAAATCCACCTATGATCCTTCCCGCAACCATTCTTTTCATTTATTACTTTCGGCACCCCTTTTACACTGATGCATCTATGTTATGCTAATAGCTACTAGTATGATTTTAGTCCAGCTTTATAGCTTTCCAATGCTTGTAAACTAATGCTTTCTTCAAGACGTATCTAGACTTTTGTCACCGCTGCTAAGCCATCTGCCGATGTGGTTTCATGCTAAGAATTTACAAATCTCCACATTCTTATGATTCCCAAAAAAAAAAAAAAACCCTCCTTTTGCAATATGCCGTTCGTTTTGAGTTTTGTCATCTTCTTCATCTTTATATGAGATTTGTTACTCAACAGTCCGCATGTAGATTGCTTTTGAGCCAATTCACGATCTGAATCTTTTCTATTGAAGTCTTATCAATATTCCCTATTTCCAGTATGTTGACCTTTATTATCTTCTTCGTTTTTTTTTTGCTTTTGGTTTCAATCAAAGTGAAAAGGCTGCATATCAGGCTTTGAAGGCTAGTGATTGGCATCTTGAAGGAGCCTTCGACGCATTCTACAGTCAACCCCAACCAAAATCATATACTGATGCTAGGCGCTTGGAAGATCTTTACAACAGATATAAAGGTAGTGTAAAGATACCATCTTTTTGTTTTAATACTATTCCTTCCATTGCTTTCAAATCCTAAATTTTGCTGTTTTGCTCCTGCTTTGATTCTCTTTTTCTGACACATAACTGGATGAATTGATTTTAGATGAGCGAGGTTTAGTTTGTGTCGGAGAATTAAAGTTTGATAAGGGGACAAAAAAGAAACTATCTTAAGGATGTAATTGTTCAGATTAAATGGTTTGTGCAATGTGTTCAATTGGGCACATGTGTATTTTCAGTGCTTCCTCAACTGGGTGATTTTGGTTTTGTTTGCTCAAACAATAGTAGCATGCTTGCATTTGGATATTTAATATCAATAGTAAGTTAATTAGAATATTCATAGGCTGAGTGTCTGAGTTGTTGCCTCCTTTCTCGGTTAAGCTTCCGGCTGGGGAAGTTTTTGTGCTGAATTTTGAACGTTTCTGCAGACAATTTCTTAGGACTTTTCACGCTTTGCAACTATCTGCTTCGTAGATTACTTCTCAAGCCTGATTCGTTGTTAAGGATGGTAGAGACCTACAAATATCTTTGGCAAACCATTAAAGAAAATGACAGAATCCTCCTTGACTTTTTTTCCTTTTTTTTTAAATTATCGAAGGCAGTTTGCTTGTGATTGTGTGCTTAGCATAATGTTGGAAAGTAAAGTGCGGACATCTATTCTGTTCTTATGGGATTTATATGCTGAAAGTTTTCCCCCCTTGTTTTGTTAGTTGATTGCTTCGGCCACTACATACTTGCAGCCACAATGACACCTTACTTTTGGATTATCAAATTATGCTAGCGGCTATTCATGCCATATTATTGCCTTTTATCCTGAATCTTGTGAAGATGTCATATTTTGCAGATGCTTATGCGGATATGATTATGGCTGATGGAATCACTCTTTTGTGCAGTGACATTCTGGTAACTATAACCCTGATCGAGGTTTGGATTTTGTGTATATGTAGTACAGCCAATTTCTAACAGGAATTTTCTGCAGGCGTTTTCAATAGTTTTTGCTTCTTAACTTTTGGGACACTTACTTCTATATGTTCTACCATGGTTCAATAAATTACTGGACAAACGTTTTTTCTTGATTTGTAACAACAAAAGTTTCTTATCGCAGGTCGATCATCAGGATATTGTCATGGTATGTACCTGTGGTTATGGAAGTACTTTGATTGTTGGTCCCTGCTCTCATCTGCATATTTGGTGCTCAACAATCTTTTTTGTTTTTTGGTAGCCTTTATAATGGTAAACGGATTGCATATTGACTATTGCTTTTAAAAAAATGGTGATGTAAAAGTTCCAAACTCAGCTTCTTGTGGTTGGGTGATCATTAGTGAAAAGAAATTTGCTTATATGTTTTTGCTGTTAAGCTTATCTAGATTTCCCATTCTTCTGTAAAGTGAGTTAGCTCTTTGTAAAATAGAATAAAAAGATGTAGCTCTGTGTTATTCACAATCAAAATTATATTTATGGCACATTGTTTACTCTTGGTTGACATAGCATTTGTTGTTATGCAGTTGGTACTTTCATGGCATATGAAGGCTGCTACTATGTGTGAATTTTCAAAGCAGGAGTTCATTGGTGGATTGCAGTCTCTAGGGTGTGTTTGAATCAAATCTATCAAGACTCTTGTTTGTGTTTGCTGTTTTTGTCAATAAAAGCTTGAAGTCTTTGACCTGAATCTCAGTCAAATCTGCATTTTCAATGCCAGGGTGGATTCAATAGAGAAATTGAGGGAAAAAATACCATTTATGCGTTCTGAGCTTAAAGATGATCGTAAGTGTGAATGTTGAACTCCCCATTTTTTGACAAGGAAATGTTAACTTTAGACCATGTCTATTAGACTTGTGGGCCTATCTCAACCTAGACCTATTTTGGTTTTGCTTTGGATGTTTTACTAGCTCTCAATTAAATTGCTTAATTTCATTTTTACAGAAAAGTTTCGAGAGATCTATAACTTTGCTTTCGGATGGGCAAAGGAGAAGGTATCAATTCGTTTTGGTTGCTTGAAAATTTTTTTCTTTCATGCTGAGTGATTTTCTAGATATAGCTCCATGGTCTGATTCTTAATTGATTTACTGCGCTGAAGTGTATGCTAACATGAATAGCCAATAAGCCTTCCAAAACCTGGATTATCTCTGTAAAGGTGAAATAAAATGCAGCATGCAAACTGCAAGTAAAAATAATCTGGGTTTTCATGCTGACCTTAATTACCTGAATGCTGTTTCACACACTGTTGGAAAACAGAGAGGTGGCTTTACACCTACTACTACACTGCTGATGAAATTTCTCAATTTCAGGGCCAGAAGTCTTTGGCATTAGATACTGCAATAGGGATGTGGCAGCTGCTTTTTGCTGAGAAGCATTGGCCATTGGTTGATCATTGGTGCCAGTTCTTGCAGGTAGCATAAGCAGATATCTCAACATTCCCTTTTTGCTTCTGTAGTTGCACATATCAGTCTACGTGTTAGGGTTTTGTACTTAGTGCAATAATTGGTTGAGGCTTGCCGCAACTTTCTTGCACTGAAAGCGTTGTTACCCTTTAGATTGGGTATGCTTTTGGAAATCAATATAAAGGCCAGCAGTTTTATGTGTCTGGTTCTTTATCATATAGTTTAATCCATGTGGGAACAAGGCCAATTTCACCCCAATTTGCAGTTGTACTATAGGACCAATGTGTTAGTAATGGATTTGTCTAGACTACTACATGTGATTTTACCTTTTGCTGTCAATGTTCATACTAACTATTGATCTTACTTTGGGACATTAGTTTTCAGTTCTGAAACCCTTTTTTGCCATTTTTAATTGTATTAAACAATATTGTTATGAACTTCTTACATAATGAGTAGCATTACTTAAATGTTTCTGCTTCTATTCTTTACAGAATCCGATGGATAAGATTTCCATCAAATATTTGTAGTGACCATATTGTGAAGTTTGAGATTGTCTTTCAAATATTTGTAGTGACCATATTGTGAAGTTTGAGATTGTCTTTCTGCATCTGTCTGTCCTCTGCGGTATTATTATTATTTTTTAAATATTGATTTTTATGTAAACAACCATGGTGTCTCTGAAATTTGAGATTGTATTCAAAACCAGATCCTACAATTTAGTGGTGCTAAGATGGAACTTGGTTCTTAGTTGTCAGACCACAATTTTGGCTAGCTAAATGGGTGCTGGTTGTGCAAAATTTAGAACGTGGAAACCCTTCAGATGAAGGAAAGCTTATATTCGTTACATCTTTTTCTCTCTCTCAATTCTCGTCTGATGCTGGTAAATTGTCGTCGTAGAATTGCATGTCTCGTCAAACCTATTGATGCATAGTTGTTAGGGTACATTTATTCATCTGCTTTTTGCATCATTTCTCGTACGATTACTAATCCTACTTCCTCCACACACCCCTGTCCGGTGGCCTTGTCTTTTTCAGGCACGACATAATAAAGCTATATCGAGGGACACCTGGTCTCAGCTCCTCGAGTTTGCAAAGGTAATTTATGTCCCACGAGTTGGTTGTCTTGAATTTATACAATCTCTTTAACAATTTGTAGTAGCAGAAGGATAAAAAGTGTCTAATAGGGTATAAGAGCATCACACACCGGGAACTGGGATCAGTTTTTGTTTAATGAAAGAAGGAAAGCAATCCCTGTTTGTTTCGGGTTGCATCTCAAGCAGTAGTTTGGGTAGTGTGCTTGAAAAATTTCTTCCATTGTGTCACTTTCTAATTCTGATGCCTCTGGTACCTTTGCAAGACTGATGTTGTTGTTGTTGGTGGTGGTGAATGCAGACTGTGGACCCCCAACTCTCAAACTATGATGTTGATGGTGCTTGGCCTTATCTGATTGATGAATTTGTGGAATACTTGATTGAAAATGGCATAATCCAAAAGGGTCAGTTGAGTGATTGGACACAGAAGCATTGATGCTAATAGGAATGAGTGGTATGGTGGATTTGAGAACCGCGATTACTGGTATGTTGTTTGGAAAAATCAAAAGGAAGAGAGGTTTTTTTTTTTTTTTTTTTTTTTGGTGTATAAAACAAGATACTGGAAAAACTGTGATGTGGTGCTGCAGGTTGAGTGGAAATTGATATGCTACAGTGGTTTTATGATCTTGGAAAGCAATTGTTATTGATGTTGTTGGTTGGGCTCTTGCTTGCGAGCCAGTGAGTGCTGTGTAACACACACTAGCAGCAGCTGAATCCACAGATGTTTTGAGTAGCCGGCCTATTGGCTTTCAGTGTTTTTTTTTAAAAAAAAAAAAAATTTATTATTATTATTTTTTGAATTTAGAACGATATTGAACTGCAGTGCGGAGATGATGCAGGCCTGATTCCAGTTTAGTCAAGTAATTATGTTTTTTTTTTTTTTTGAAGGGATTAATGAATTGTAATTTTAGCATAGACAGTGGTATATATAGTCAGAAGGAAAATACAAGCAAAGCAATGGCACTAGTTGTAGTAGTGGAATTTATGGGGAGATTCTACCAACGGTAGTAACTATTGGCTGCTTTGTGTTGCGGTTACCGCTTTAGAACCAGTGGCAATAAGCATACGTGCACCCTGACACGCTCCCCATTTTGCAAAGCTCTCCTCTCCCCGCCGCTGCATTAGCATGACCTACATTTTATAGGCCATAATTTCAGAAATCTCCCTTGAGGTTTCTAATAACAATTGCATCCGCCTCGTCTAAAGTTTGAAAATTTATCGAAACCTCCCCTGCCAAAATATCTCTTGGTAGCAATTGATGATGTAAGGAAAAAAATTTCAGTGAATCCCCTCTATGGTGTGTAAAATAAATTTATTAAATTCTAAAAAGTCAAACATCACCATTATTACTTAGGTGAAAATTTTAAGTTGGTTTTTTGTAGGAAAATTTAAACCATGTTTTGAAGGCATTCTTTTTGGTTGGTTGGTTGATTTTTATAAATTAATTAATAAATCTAGTTTAAAAATTTGGGAATGAAGTGTAATATACTAGATTGCATGATGTTAGAGTTTTCTCTTTTAATCTCATTTTCACTTAAAATTTGTAAAGCTTCTGTCAATTTATTTAATCCCAAAAATTCAAAAAGATAATTATTGTAGGTAAAAGTCAAACTTTGTAATTCGCACATTCAAGGAGTCTTACGGTGGACTTTTTTTTTTTTTTTAAAAATAAACTATATACATGGGCAGTTTTGTCAACTCAAATACATTAATGGTCAATTTGATGAGTTGACCTAAAAAAGGGGATTAAAGTGAGAATAAATAGATGTTTAGGGCAGTTTTGACAGAACCTTGAGCGGAGATTCTGAGGTTATCCCGTATATAACCAAATAGTTGATCTCGGATTTGATGCTTAAGCCATCTCTTAAAGTGCAAATCATGCCGGCCTTAGCTGCTTGTTAGTGAAGCACTAATATAATTGGGATGGTAGCACGCCTAGTTGCAAACGCGAGGACACTTGGGAATACTCGCGACTTTACCAAGCAAGCCTTAGTTCAGTTGGCCATCACCAAAAGGAGATCGAACGAACCCTCCAAACAAGTCGAGGAGAAAAATTGTCCTGTACGGTTCCGCACAAACAAGACAATATATATATATATAAAATAAGAGCAAAAAAGAAACGCTCCTCCATATTATTATTATTATTACTACTACTATTTCAGCAAACAAACAGCAGCTAAAAATTGTTCCCAGTAAAATGAAGGTGTTTGTCGGGAAGAATTATTTTCAGATTCATTTTGCAGCATGCCATCTATAGAGCAAAAACCAAATAACTAAAAGCCTTCCCAACACAAGCTACAACTTGACACAATCTTAACACTCCTTTTTAACTGGAAACACTCGTGTGACTAACTCAAAATTTGCAGCTCACCACAGGCCTCAGAATTGCTCAGTTACTGGCTGCCACCAATGCCATGTGCTCAATCAGATCCAGCACTCGGTTGCTGAAATATTGCATTACAAAAAAAAAAAGAAAAAGGTCATTTGCCAATTCTCGCGCACCACACTGGCTGGAGACACAGAGAAATAAGAGGCTAACAATACCTGTAACCCCACTCGTTATCATACCATGCTACGAGTTTCATGAGGGAGGAACTCAGCCCTATCCCAGCCTTTGCGTCAAAGATGCTTGACCTAATAAGGAAGAAGCCAACGCTGAGAACACTAAACTTGGGCAGACAAAAAACACTCAAAACAACTGGAAATTGAAGCTTACACCTTACAACTCCATGTCTAGACAAAAAATTAAATAAACTAAAAGAGCTGGACAAAAAGTTTCAACTGAATAAAGTGATGGTTGTCCTTAACGTTTCGCCAAAAAAAAAAAGAATAAAGCAATGGTTGTTCACTACTCAAGCCAGCATTAGTGGAATTGGGCAATAAAAATGAACTCAAGGCTAATCCTACAAGAGAGGAGGAGAAATTAAATCCTAATTCTTGGTAAATAATGAATTCAGGAATCACCAAATCCTCCAAGGACGACTCTGTGTAAATTCAAATGGTAATTATGTGTTCTCATGAGTAATAACAACACTTAAGAAGCAGGACAATTCTACCTTGAATCGCCAACAAAATCATTGGAAACAACATCTTCGTCAGTGTATCCAAGAATGCCGTTCAGGGGACCCTCTGATGCATACCTGCAGTTAGAAATACAATTAAGAAATCTGCATAATTGCTTATATAACAATAAAGTGCCCATAAAAAAGAAAAAAGAAGAAGAAGAAGAAGAAAGGCCGTCTGGGACCAAGCAAGAGAGACGCTCAGAGCTGAGAGGGCAGGAAATTCAGTTAGCATACTTAATGGCTGCTTTGACGTCTTCATAAGAAGCACTCTTCTCAAGTCGACAGGTCAAGTCCACAACCGAGACATTGGGTGTCGGAACACGGAAGGCCATTCCTGTAAGCTTTCCGTTAAGCTCTGGAAGTACTTTTCCAACAGCCTACAATTTCAGTGGTATAGATCAAATGTAAAATGACCAGAAGTTACAGGAAACAGACAAATTAGGATATACTTCACATCTAAATCCAGATAATACCTTTGCAGCACCAGTAGAACTAGGAATAATATTTTGGCCTGCCCCACGGCCTCCACGCCAATCCTTCATGGAAGGACCATCAACTGTCTTTTGGGTGGCTGAACAGAACAAGAATATAGAAAATCATAAAAGCAATCCAACTCTATAGTAACATCAGCGGAAAGCTGTTCTGTATAGCTTTATGTCTAAGACAGACCTGTGGTTGCATGGACAGTTGTCATCAAACCCTCTAAAATGCCAAACTCCTCATGGACCACCTGCAAGTGAAAAAATCAATAGTAGCAAGTAGTTCAACGTTTTCAGAAACAGGATAGTCCTATTGAATGGCAGTTGGTCACTATGACAAGCTAAGGCACCCAATGCCCCAGGTCACCCGGAAACAGGAAAAAAGACAGCAAAAACAAAACCAGTCCAAGAACCAGAAGTCAAATTCCCTTCAAGTTCTTGCTATGCTTGAAATATGATCAAACCTTGGCAAGTGGGGCAAGGCAGTTAGTGGTACAGCTTGCATTGGAAACAACATCCATGCTTGGTTTGTATGTACTCTCATTTACTCCCACCACAAACATAGGTGCATCAGCAGATGGAGCCGAAATGACAACCTTCTTAGCTCCACCCTGTGAATCATAAAACCCGAGGAGATAAAGAACAATGCAAGTGAGGAGCAACTTTGGATGGTGATTATGATCCACAACATAAATAAACTTACCCTCTTGTGAGCTGATGCCTTCCCAACCGTTGTGAAGACACCAGAAGATTCAACAACATAGTCTGCCCCATGCTCACCCCATGGAATGTCAGCAGGGTCCCTGTGCATAAACAATCATGAATATGCATTTGCAACAACAGTAATTTACTAGTGTCATCATTTCAGCTCAAGTGACTTGGAAAGTATAAAAACAATATACTACGGTTCATGTTACTTGGCAAGTATAAGCACGATACAAGTCCCAGAATGGCGCCATGTGGATACCTTTTGCTGCAAACTTTAATCTGCTTCCCATTTATTTCCAACGTTGTATCATCTAAAACCCTGAGTGATCCCTTGAAGGCTCCATGAGTAGAATCATACTTGAACATATAGGCCTGCAAAAATGTAAAAACCAAGTCATAGCCACCGGTCCATGTCTTCTGTTGGTTCAATTACTAGAATTTCAGGATCCCAATCAACATGCAGGAGTCAGCTGAGAAGAGAAGTTAAGTGCTGGAAAAAAAAATCATAAACTAAGTTCACTTCTGCTGAGAACATTAGGCAGTCTGCAGGCTCAAATTGTATAACTGGTCTGAGTTCTTGAAATTCCTCAGATCAATCTCATTATAAAGGTGACACATTCAATGTGGGTTTTGCTTTGAGTTTAGGTCAGGGGTTAGCAGGCATTAAAGTCAATTAGCTCCACGTTCTGCCAATAATGAAATGAATTTGAATAACCAATATTTTAAGTGCCTATGTAAACTTTGAAGAACTAAGAAAAGCACATATATCAGACTTTTATTCAAACGTCGTTACACTCCAGTATTCCAAGCCAATGACATGAAAAGAGTTGTCACATATGCTGAATATCGGCTTACCATGTATTTGGCATCAATAAATGGATCGTTTACTGCAACCACCTCAATATCATCCCTGGAAGTTGCAATCCGCAAAACTAATCTCCCGATACGCCCAAACCCTGTTGATTTGATATCCATTTGACACATTATCCTTACTGTACATTCAGTAGGGGACAAGGGATAACAAGTAGTACATGATTGAAGTCATGGAGAGACAAGATAGACCAAAGCGTTAAACATACCATTGATCCCAACCTTGGTCTTCCCCCCACTTGAAGATTCTAAGGAAAGCAGAAAAGAATTGAGTAAGTGTGCAGAAAAATCTACTAATCACTGAATTCAATGAAATTTAAAAAGAAAAAAAACGGTTATATGCGCAAACTGAAAACACCATACTGGAAATTGTGGGAGGAATTTCAGTGGCAGTAGCTTTGATGGGTTGAATACTCCGCGCAGTAGTACTACATTTTCTGCATTATGACAGTGATACCAGTTAGCCAAGATTAAAGCCTTTGGCTCATAGTAATTTGAAAAGCGTTTGTAAAATGACAGTATCGTAATGGGAAGGAAAAAAGAGAAACTGGGCTCCAACTCAACTGCAAGGAAGATGATTGAGCTAAGATACGGTTCCCATGTATGCTTGATTGAAACCTGACATTCGCACCGATTCCCCCAAACACCTAAAAGAAAATGTAGGATTAGACAGTGAGAGAATGCAAAGGTCCTCCTCCTACTTGGGTGTGCGTGTGTGTGTTTTTTGTTTATATTTTTTGTATTATCTAGGAATCTCATAGAAACAATGCGGAAAAGGCTCTGTTGGGGAAAAAGTAGATGGCAAATTTGATTTGATCAACTCCAACATTAGCAACACAATTTCTGTAGGTGAAACAAAATAAAAGGAAGAAAAAAATTTGTATATGAAAAAGAACAGAACATTTTATATTACACGAAAATGAATACGAATGAAAATGCACTTAAAAGAAAAAAAAAAAAAAAAAGAGAGAGTATAAAACTCTCGTAACACCGAAAATAAGGAAATACTGACAAGTTAAGCACATGTTTTGCATACAGGGGAAAAAGAAATGAAGAGAAAAAAGAGAAGTAGAAGAATAAGAGACAAGAGTGGAAAGGGCGGGAAAGGAAAAAAAACCTGGGGTTGATGGTAGGAGGATCCGAAACGGGAAGCCTGGAGAACCGGGGATGGCGTGGATCTAACAAGGGAAGACGACGACAAGGCCATGACCGCAAAATACCGGAACCAAACCAAAAAGATTTTTGAAAAAAAAAAGGAAAAAACTCGTGAGGTCCCCCCAAAGTGGGTGAAAATTATGAGTAGAGGTGAGAAGTTAGAATTTGGAAGTGGAAGGGAAAGGTGGCAGCGTTGGTCCAACGATAACAAACAACTACTACTCCTCCTCAAATACTACTCTTCTTCCGCTTATGTTAACCACCGCCGATACTGCGGTTGGAAGAGCCCAAGCCAGCCAACCCAACCAAAAGTGTAAAACCCTAACACGAGGGAGGGAGAGAAAAATGGAGGTTTTTATTAGGTTACAACGAAGACTACTTTAGTCTGGCTGGCTGGCTGGCTCTCTCTCTCTCTCTCTCTCTCTCTCTCTCCGTTTGTTTGACAAGGCAAAATAATAGTAGCAAAAGCCAACTTTTTTAAATGCGTACAAAAAAAAAAAAACAACCAGCGGAGATTCTTAAGAATCGAACCCCAACTCGTCTTCCAACCACACCGGCCCCCGACCCTCCCTACCACCGCTTTCCTTTCTTGCTACTGTATACAACACACGCACACGCACACACACCCTCTCTCTAGTCTAAATTTGAGTCTTGACGCCAATAATTTACCGTCTTCGAAAATTCTGCGATGTGCTATACCACGTTGCAGTAGATCACTTTGTAGAAATAAAAAAAAAAAAAGCACTTTGTAGGAATAGGAGTCCGAGTGCACATGGAGTATATGCTGGAGGAAGTTGTTTCACGTGTGAGGTGGACCTAGGCGTATTCTTGATGATGCGTGCGTAACTGCGTGTGCGTGTTTACTAAGAAGCCTGCCTAGGGAGACGGGTGGAATGTTGTCGTTTTGTGATAAGCTCTCTGGTGAGGACGACCTTCTTCTTTGGCGAACCTGCCAACTGGAGGAGCGGGCCCCGCTTGATAACCACGTCAGTCCAGTCGGCGCCTTCTTCCGCCTTCTTCCACCTCCCCATCTCTCCGTCCAATTCCGCAATCCAACTCTATTCATGCACGCCCGGGTATTTGTATATTTAAAAAAAAAATAATTAAAACACACTAAGCCCCCTGAGTGTGTGTGACTTTTTTTTTTTTTTTGGAAGATAATACGAGTAATAAATAATGTTCTGTACTGCTCTGTTCGTTGCACTTTAATTTAATCTCTTTCTCAACTCATATCAACTTTGACGATTAAAAATAATTCAAAACTCCTATTTTGCTTTCATTTTCCATTTTCCTTTTCCTTTTTTTTTTCTGGCCCCACGGGGATTTTGGGAGGGATGCTTTTAAGCGTTGAAAGGCAGCAACGGTTTAGGTGGGAGAGAGGGGCGGCAGACCACGTGTCACATCTCCCACCCTCCCTCTTCTTCCCACCAAACTGCAAAAAGCTGCATTGCTCGTGTACAACCACCACCACCACCGCCACCGCCCCCTCAATGTTCAAGATATGCGCTCCCGATTAATAACCGAAATTTAGCCCTCACAAAAATTTATAAAGAAAAATCCCCCAAAATTTAAGGGGCTTCTTATTAAGCTGGTATTGATTTGGGAGGAGGAAAAAAGCAGAAAAAACGTGCGTCCGGGCTGCTTCCCGGTGGGGGAGACGGTGGAAACCTGGACAACTGGAGAAGCCATTCCTCCTTTCTTGCAGCCATCAACAGGAGATTAAGATTAATGAAACTCCTCCCCCCCATTATCTCATGATCCACGCGCTTTTTTCTAGTCTCAACGGTACCTCCTCCTCCCCCTTTTTTATTTTTCCTGAATTTATTCTAATGTACTACCTACGGCATTTATCTATTACGGAAGGAAGAAGATGATTCTTGCATGCTATTTTCAACAGTCTCCGACCGTTTTTTTTTGGTCTCAATAATGGTCATGATAATAATATAATCAAAATCCTCCTGGCAAACTTCCCCACCCACACCCCCCCCCCCCAGTAACAAAGGGAAGAATATGATTGTTACATGTCGTATCTAATATTTCTAATTTGGTACTGCTTATCGAAATACGAATACCAATCCTTACTCGCTGTTTTGAACGGGCTGGCACTCTGGAATTTGGTGATTTTTTTTTTTTTTTTTGGTTATATCCTAATAATCCGACTTCTTGTATATTTTTACGATACGTTCTCAATGGTGCTTTGCAGAATGTAACTTACAAGCCAGTAGTATAATCTAAAGCTGAGAATCATTAAGGCATCAATATCGTGATGGATGCATGGTCATTTGGCTCCAATTTGGTTGCCACGACGTATTTCAAAATTTTGGCTAATCCTGTTTCCCTAGCTAATGCTACCTCAATATTACTTAGCTGTATTGTTTAATATGTACAGCAGTAATTATTAATGTCCCACTTTGTAGTTAGAGCACCAGTCCAAGTCTCCCATGGCACATCTTTATTTCTGGGCCAACAGCAATGTTTACTCATGTGTTGCGGGCTTGTCTTTGCATTGCTGCAGTTGGTGCTTCATTAATAGTCCGCCTTCCTTCTGCTGTTGGATGCTGGAAAAGCTATCGCAAATTAGAGGATGACTGTCAGCTTTATTTACTGGGATGATTGTGTGGACCCCGAAGACTTGGAGGCCATGTGGATGGATCCTGCTGTGCAAGCCGAATGGCTTAATGCTGGAGAAACTAGAGGTTCAAAAGTCCACCTCTCACGCGATCCCGATGGCCAACCTTATTTGACACAAACTGAGATCAAGGTAATGCGTATGTCAGCATCGAAATCACTCTAATTAGCATACCTTGCTAACTTTGATAGTTTTTAACTTCACTCTGGACATTATTAGACTCCTGAAGTGGTTGTTGGTATCATGGCTTTGATTTTGATTTATCAATAGGTATTGGTTGTAAAGCAGTTTCGACTGAAATACTTATCGAAAACAGAAATGAAAGTTACAGTTTGTTGTTTTACTCTACACTTTTACCTTGTCTTACGTTTGGATCTTGACCAACAAATGATGTTTATATCCACATGCTCTGAAAAAATTGATTCTGACGTCACAAAAATGACCCGCTTTTCAAAGTACTACTATTATTCAGTTTTCTTTTTTTTTTTTCCGTTTCTTTCCTGACTTAAATTGGATTTTTCCCTTCGCAGGCCGTCGCAGGGATCATAGTCCGAAGGCATTTTGTTTCACAGATAGATTCGGTATGACATCCTCATCTCATGTGAAATGCAGCACGAACATCTCACATAGTATAAGTCTAGTAACCATTAAGGCATAATGAAAAGCTCATATGTTCCATTTATTGACGGGGTAATCCGTATTTTTTCATCATTCTCTCTTGTTTAATTTATTTAAACATGCTCAACAATGATTTCCTGACATGTAAAATATTGATGTTATTTGTTGTGAAATTATCATTCTCCTCTGGTGCTACAGTCAGTCAGTCAGTCAATGGCCATGGGAGAGGCAGCTCAAGATAACGCATCTATGCTGGTCATTGCATGTGTGATATGAAATCTTAAAAAAGTTTTATTATCAAAAGCATCATGCCATGGACATCTTCATATCATGATTTCCAATGTAGATCTTTATTGAGATCTCCTCTCACAGTTGATCAAATCCCACATAATGTTTTCACCACCAATTTCCTCTAGGCTTGGAACATAATAATGTATCATACTTGAATTGCCATCTTTAGAATTGTGAATTGGGGTGAGGTCCACATCTAGTGATGTTAAGGGTGCAAATGAATTGATCTGGTTTATGAGCTTGGCGAGCCTGCTTGGTCAACGACTCGACCTGGTATCCAAAAAGCTCAAGCAGCTCAATTCACCTGTCGAATGAGTAACCAAGCTCGAGTACTATGATGCTCTACTCGAAGGTTCGTCAAGCTTGATTGAGCCCATTAATATGGTATAATGTCTAGTTTATCCATTAAAAAGAGTTTTATAATTATTATCTATTCTTATTTTAGCCTTTTTAGGCTCGAACTATATCTTTATATTAGGTGCTCTCAAGCGCGAGCTTGCTAAATTTTTGTTGAGTTTGGCTTGTTCAAACCCAAGCTCGATTCAGTTGGCTTCTTTTCATCCTGAATTAAATTGAAAGTTCAGCTGAACATCTGATACCAAAGAAAAAAGTTGTTCAATAATAAAAATTTCAGTTTCAGTAAAAATTTATGATTCTTAGTCGATTGATAAATGATGTTCAAATATATAGTCCTAATTGTCTTCTTCCTGTACTGCAGGATATGATTTGTGCAATCGCTACTCTTGAAAGTGATAGGCAGCCTCTGGCTACTCAGTATAACAAAAAATCAAAGGAGACTACAGTGGGGATAATGCAGATCTTACCAAAAACTGCACAATGGCTAGTCAGGTATGAATTGGAGTAAGATTTTGATCAAGATTGTTTGACCTTTTCAAAATATTTTACTTTCGGTTGCTCTTATTCAGAATGAATATAACGCAAGCACTTTTCCTGCAGAGATTTGGGTTATCAGAGGTATGAAATATCAGGGAATCCAGAAGTTCTGTACAAGCCTTTCGTAAATGTATATCTTGGTGCTGCATATCTCAAGTGGTTGTCAAATTATGACCAAAAGTATGTTGAAATTTTTTTTTGTCTGTGTTGTTGTGGTATCCTTTTTAATTTGGACTCTTTGTCTGAAAATAACTGCTTTGCATCCCATGTTATGCACTGCGAATCATCTCCTTTTTTCTCTAACAAAAATGCAGTGTAATACCTTATTTGTTTCTAGATACCTTATGCAAGAAAAAAGGTGGTACTCCAACACATTCCTATAGTTATCAAATAGTCATGATCAACATGGTTGCCCCTGTGCTTTTATTTCTCTGTTTGATGTATTTTACGGGTGTGAGTTGTCCCGTAAAGTAGGACATCTTTTTTCAAAAGGCATTGAGTAAACTTTTGGGAATATTGTAGTTGATGTGGAAATTTCAAAGTGCTATAAATGCTAGTGTCTGACATATAATTGTTTATTCAGAGAAAGAAGCGAGGAGTTCATGGTAAGGGCTTATAAAGCTGGCACAAAGAAGGCGGCTCACAAGTCAACATTGCAATTCTGGAAGCAGTATCTTGCTGTAAAGGAAAGTCTTCCATCTAGGTATTTACTTTTTGTCATGATTTTTATTTATTAGCTCTTCACCAAGATGCATATGTCATGTTGGATTCATGTGTATGGATCACATGTATTATTTTGGAGTTCATGTTTGATTCATGTTGGAATGGTGCTTGATTTTCCAGACTGGTTTTTGATACATTACATCCTATAACAACAGAAATCTTGAGCAATCATCATGCAAGTGATATTTGGATACAGCACATGGAGTCATTAATGTTTATGTCTATGAAATGACAGGCATCTCTCTACCAACATGTTATTAGAGAATGATTGTTCTAAAATCCAAAGTTACGTAGAACAAAGAGTAGGCTTAGTCAGACAGTTAACTTATGATAGTGGATATGGCAAAAATGTCCTGACTTGTGGGAATAAATTTCTGCCACCAATAAATATTCTATCATTTGGAAACATAATTTAAACAGCAGACTGCACTTGATGAAGAGAATGGAAAGTTTCTGAAATCCAGACCTGATTATCATTCAAGCGAATACTGAAGGCTGTTAAATTTGAATTCTCTCTCTCTCTCTCCCTCATAGGTTTTTTATGGCAATTTAGTGCTTCTACCTAGCGAGCCATCAGAGTGAGATTATGAGTACTGAGAAACAATTTATTCTAATTGCCATGCAATTTGACATAATAGATGTAAATTGATGTCTTATGGAGGTATCTTAAAAATTGTTCAGAAGGATATTTGGCATTAAACTCCAGCATAATATAATAATATACATGGCAATAATTGTTAACAACCACTTTATGTTAATGTTTTTGCAGAAAAGTCTTTGAAGTTAGTCCTCTGCCTACGGCTTCTTCAGCAGCTCCTGCAGTTACAAAAACAAAAGGTACTTTGCTACAAGTTTGATAAGTGTAAACCTAGGTTCTTTGTCATCAATATTGTTTTCTTTAACACTACAGTCTCAAGGCTGACGTTATTGGTTTTTTTATTTAATATCTGTACTACATAATTTGTAGTTTTGACAATAATACAAGGAAGTAAATCCCTATTTAGAAGCTAGTATTCTCATTCTACTGGCTACTTGATGAAGATGCTTTTTTTGGCATGGAGATCATTTTGATTTTGTGCAACAATGAATGTTTACTGCTATGCTCTACTGTAGCTTGAAATAACTCATATAGTCGTCAGTTTAATCAATCTACGGTGGGTAAACGAATTGTGTCAATATATACTCACATAAGACTCTGTTGCTGATTAGTGTGTGGTTCCTCGTTAACTCGAAGGTGATAAGTTGAGCTGAACTTGTAAATTGTTTTATGTGCAAGTATTATGATCATTGCTTTATAAGTTGGTCGATACACATGTTCCACTGTTTTTGACTCTGTTTCAAATTTCGTTATCTTCTGATTAATCTATGAAAAAATGCAGTCTCCCTGTTGGAATATGATTCTGGTTATGTTGTTGGTTTAGTGACAGAATAAGTGGAGGACTCAGATTAAGTTGTTCTGTCCTAGAAATATCTCATCTTAGTTTCTAGAACATTTTGGGTTTAACTATTTTGTCTTTACACCAAAACAGAAAGCTGAAATTCTGTTTGGCTACCTTAGTTAAGGAGACAGAAGAAGTGCACTTTCCTCATTGAAGATGAGGCTGCATCTCCAGAATGAAATATCTTTTCTGGTGTTTTATTAGTATGAATTCCTTGCAAGTAGTGCCTAATCAGTCTAACCTATTTCCAATTTTTCTAGGTCAATCCTTGAAACCTGACTAGTTTGACTTTTACCAAATTAGCAGTTTGACTTTTATGATATGACTACTGTGAATCTCATTCTATCTTTATTAATTCGCTCGAATTTGTGCTGAAAGAGAAATTTTGTGTGTTTATGCATGAGGCAGCAGGTCCATTGAATACAACTTGGGACTCCAGAACTTCGAAAGAAGACATGGAAGATATGTGGATTCATCCCAATGTCAATAAGGAATGGATGAAGTCAGGCGAGAAAAAGGGAAAAGTTCGATTTTCTCATGACACAGAGAAGAGGCCTTATCTTTCCCGTGTAGAACTAAGGGTGAGATATTGTTTATTCAATGCGTATTTAATGACTGACGATTGAATGTTAGCCTTTTTCTTTAATTTGATCTCTCTTGGGAACGCATTTTGCAATTTCCTTTTCCATTGTGCTCTAAGTTCGTTTTCTGTATACCTGTGTAGTTTCACTTCATGTTAATTCATCTTTAATGCCAATTAACTGTTTGTGCTCGCAAGCAGACACGTCATGGGCTTTTCTTAGACAAAACTGCTGCAGGCTTATGGGAGTTTTTAATTTCTTTTAATAGCTGGGTTGACTGACGTAATGAGTTTTGTTTGTACCTATATTCTTTCAATTGCTAAGATTTAATCATAGGATGCCTTAAAGGGGACAAAACAAATACTCAAGCAAATATCTTGATGTTATTAATTAGTTCTATAATTCAGAAATCACTCTCTTATCCTTGTTTATTAGTATTTGATATGTTTACATGCTATATAGTCTAGATGTGCTAATTGTGGCAATCCAGCGGACAAGTAATCATTCAAACTTCTTCATTGAGCGCTTGGATTCGTTCATTTGTGATGGTAATGCTTCATGAAATTTTGTCCAAGATATCTCTGCTGTTTGACCTTTCCAGTGAGATAAGAGGAAGCATTTTCTCATCTTAGAAGCCTCAAGAATTGTTCACGTTTCTGTACAGCACTTACTGTACTGTTCAGACTCAAAACTGTGCCTGATTTATGCTGCTGCTTCTTCTATAGGCTGTTTCGGAAATCATTCTTTCAAAGCACTTCAGCACAAGACGAGTAGAACCTGTAAGTACTTGATTACTGTCCATTCAGTTAGAAAAAAAGAGAGGGTTTCTTAGACAAAACCCATTCTGCGGCCCTTTTAAGATGCATTCTTTTGCCTAACACGACTCTTCTTATTGGACTCTTCTAGTGTGGTTACATCATTCTCCTTGATGGGAATTGACTGTTTTGTGTATTTGAGGGAAGGAGATAATGTATTTTATCATTTATAAGCTCATTCTCGTGCAGACTGTTTTGTGTGCTATTGCGGAGATTGTTAGCATGCGCTTTGTGAATGGAGTTGGACAACGTACTGGTTTGATGGGAATTGACTACCCGACAGCACGATGGCTTAACAAGTATGTGATTTATTCGAAATCTGCCATTTCTTATCTGAGGATGAGTGCTCATTTTATTGCTTCCTAGGCTTTTAGCATTCTTAGATGATTTCACTGGACAACTACTTATGTTGGCCAAGTATACGAGCCTAAGGACTGTTGCTTAATGACATCAGTTTAAATGGTATATGATGTCTAATTTTTCCTTGACCCACGCAGAAGTATCTTGTAAAAGTCGAAAAGGTCAATGCACTTGTAATCCTCAAAATGCTTCAGTTTTGCTTCTTCAACCTTTTTCTTTTGATGTCTGATTTGTAAAGGGCTTCTATTTTTAGGTGGGGCATTTTCTCTTCTTTGTAAAACTAAAGCATCATGTAAATAGCCATTTGTACATCTTATTAATGCTTTTAACTCACTTGAGTTGACGACTAGGGATGTCGGCTACAAGGCTTACATAGTAGATTCAGTTGACGACCTCTGCAAGCCTTTTGTCTCCGTGTATTTTGGTGCTGCCTATTTGGCTTGGCTATCAGAATACGAAGGGAGGTATGTTTTTGGGTCATGTTTAGATGTCAAAATAGACTTCCTAGCCATTTGTGTCTTTCATATGACCTGAGAGGTTACGTGATGGTATCAACAGGGAGAGAACACCCCAGTTTGTTGTTCAGGCTTATCTTGCTGGACCGCAGAATGTAAACCTTCAGGAGACGGGTCCACTTTGGCTGAAATTTGAGGAAGCCTTGAGCCATTATGAAGACGTGAAGAAGTAGGTATTTGTTCTTTTATGCATTAGCGGACAGGACATAATATGTAAATTTGTTGATACATGACCCTGCTCCCCTTTCAGAGGAGGAGGAGACTGCAGAATTCTCTGAGCTGATAGCGCCATCACAGTTTTTTTGTTTTATGCCTTCAACATTATTGCGGAACAAGGACAGACGACCGAGTGCATCCATGCAGATGACAAGGTGAAAGGATTGGACTGATGCAGCACTGTGTGCACTACCGGCAACATGGCATATACATAAATAGTCTTTACATTCTTTTTGAAGTCAGTCATTTACTTGCTTATAGGTCGGGGGTGGAATTTTCACATTTCTTTACACCGTATAGAACCTGGAATATGTTTCTCTTGTACGAGTGCTCGTGTGTGTGTGTGTGTATATATATATATCAAAAGAACTAATAGACCTTGGTGCTGACTAAAAGTACGTACCCAACTGGGAACTACTAGTATAAGAAATGCATTGCATTTATAAAGCGCAGCAATATACATTAAGAAAATCCGATATCTGTTGAAGTTAGTGAAAGGGGCGTGGCGTGGTGTGGTGCCGGTGGTCTGCCGGCCATCATCAGGTCTCCTGCCGGCCATGGCTTTTAGTTACTTTTAGCTGCAACCAGTTGCGTTTTATTAGCAAGTTGGTGGTAACAGCAGTGCACTGCAATTTGGTGAAAATTGGACCCATTGTGCAAATATTATATTATTATTGAGTGGAAAAAACAGTAGTGGAACGAACATGAAGTTGAATCGAAGCAAGAGCAAGACAATCAAGCATCAGTTTTTATGTACGTAATAATTCTTTTGGGAGGCGGTGATAGTTTTTATGTACGTAATAAATCGAAGTCTTTATAGAAATACAAATAATAATTTAGATGTTTTCATAAGCCTTATTTCAACATCGGAGCAAAAAAAAAGAAAAAAAAGAAAAAAAAAAAAGAAGAAGGGAAGAGAATCCTTTGTCTTTATTTGTTAAATAATAAAGAAATCCTAAAATCGAAAAAAGAATTGGAAAAAGAGGAAAGTAGAAGAGCCAACTGCCAAGCAAGGAGGGGCGAAATGGGGAATGGACAAATGAGTGACCTTCCATTTTGACTACAAAGCTACGCAGAAATGGGAAAATTTTCGATTCAACTGTTTCATTTACGAATCTGATTCAACTCGAACTCCAGCTTATTAAACTGGAAACGCGCGTGGAAGAAGAAGAAGAAGGAGAAGGAGAAGGAATTCTTTATTCATATTCATCGTAAGAAGAGAAGACGCACCAGATTGATTACTGATTACGAATAGAAGGGAGGCGGAGTACCAAATCCAATTCTTTTCCAACTGATTTAAGGGCTAAGGAGGAGGAGGAGGTTTATTTATACTACAGTTCACTATCATTTGGTACAAGAACTTCGGCCCCGGATTGAGAGGGAGAGACATATTTTTATGTGCTCAACACTACTACGCATCTTTAAGGTAATGTGGTCATATGTTTGACTGTACCAAGACATAACTACAACCTTCCCATGCTGAGCTAATTTCTTATATTTCATTACTCCACCAACTTCTTCTTTTTCCTTTTCCATTGGTTCTTCCACCCAAGACACCTTTTTCTTGTACTTTTTCTATACTCTTTTGCTACATTAGATCTGTTTTCTTTTGGATTCAAGCTTTTCCCTTAATGTTTACTCAAACTTTTCTACTTCATCTGTTCTATTTTGATTGATCATTCGATATGTTTGGTGTGATTATCTGTTAATGACTTAATGTACGGTGGATATTATAACGACAACCCGTATCCGCCATTTTTGAACATGTAGAGCAATAGAATGTTCCCTTTGAAGCTTCTTGGTGAAATAATTACTTCTTTTACTTCTATCTCATGGACGATAGATTTATTCCACATGTTACCGTATCTTTTATTGGAAAATTTTACTTTCTTTCTTTTTTTTTTTTTTAACCATCACTGATGTACCTGGCGATATGGAATATATTTCATTTTAGATGAACCATAGTTCTCATTGGTGGATTTGGTGTGCCATAGGTAGAATATTATGGACAGAGCTAATGGCTTTAAAATGGGTTTTTGAAGTAAATTTGAAAAATTATCTGACAGTGTCTTATAAATAAAACTTGGATATGAAAGGCTCGCTGTGGTTTCTATATGCAATATAAACTTTTGGAATATTTAGTTGTAGGACTGGAGGTGTTTTTAATGAAAGGCCACTAAAAATATCAGCTTCACTTAAAATCTCGATTATTTTTCCCAAGCAAAGTACCTATCCATTATTTTTAGTTCTCCTGATTTTTAGGGTTTTTTTTTTTAAGTTGATGCAAACAGAAGAACTTTTTTACTTAATATGGTGAGTTAATTTAAGGCATCGGTCATGACTTGTTTTTAGTTATCTACTTAGTGTTAAGTCAAATTGCTTGCCTGGACTAATGTATTTTTATGCAGATTATGTGGTGAGTGTGCTCTGATTGCTTGTGGATTCTTAGAGAAGACTGCTTCTGTGCTTTGGGCTGCCAATTTCTTGGTAGCGATAGCAAAAATTTGGTTACCTTTGTCTGCGAACAGTTCAATCTGAAAGCTTCCAAGTTTCTGTAGCAATGTTACAGAGATTTAAGATACATGTTACTCACAAGTGCCAATAGACTTGTCTACCGGCTCAGATACTTTTCTGTTGCATCAAAGGTTCTGGTGCTTCTTTATGTCTTCCTTATAACAACTGTATCATGCTGTTACAATTGGTTGTTCCTGTATAAACGGGTTTCAGAGAGGGGGAAGTTTATTCTCTCTACGATGCAGCAGTCAAAAACTCATATGCAAGCTCAACGCAATTCTGCAGATCATTGTAATGGAGAACTAGATCCCCAACATGTAGCATACTCTCTGGGTTATGTAAATGCAAATGCAAATGTGAGGTCTTCAGAGCAAAACATTTCAGAAGTTAAGCCTGTGCGTAATTACTCTATACAAACAGGCGAGGAATTTGCTTTTGAGTTCATGCATGATCGGGTTAATCCCAGTAAGAAATTTGTTTCATATGTTAATGGGGATCCCCTCTGTACACCTAGTTATTTGGATCTGAAAGGCATTTTAGGCATTAGTCATACTGGATCTGAGAGTGGGCCAGATATTTCTGTGGTTGAAAAGGGGTCAAAAGTGCTTGAGCCAAATAATTCTTCACCGTATGAGAACAAAAGCTACTATGTATCTGCACGATCATTTCCAAGAACTTCATCAGACTACAACAACTATCAAACACTTGCTTATACATTGCCTGGAGCATCTGATGGCTCATCAATAAAGCTGAAGATCCTCTGCAGCTTTGGGGGTAAAATCATACCACGTCCAAGTGATGGAAAGCTCAGGTATGTTGGGGGTGAAACTCGCATGATCCGCATAAACAAGGACATTGCATGGCAGGAATTGCTGCAGAAAACAAGTGCGATTTATGACCAAACTTATTCCATTAAATACCAGCTTCCTGGGGAGGATCTTGATGCCTTAGTTTCTGTGTCTAGTGATGAGGATTTGCAGAATATGATGGAGGAATGCAAAGTACTAGAAGATGGAGAAGGATCAAATAAGCTTAGATTATTTCTCTTCTCCATTAGTGATCTGGATGATGCTCATTTTAGTATAGCGAATTCTCATGGTGGTTCTGAGTTTCAGTATGTAGTAGCCGTCAATGGCATGGACATGGGATTGAGGAAAAGCTCAACTCTGCATGGTATGGCAAGTTGTTCCGCAAACAACTTGGATGAGTTAGATGGGTCAATTGTTGAGGAGACAAATAGAGCTGCAGCTGGCTATGTTGGTGCTGGTACCTTTCCTTTGGCTGACTTTGATGTATCATTATCAACCACTGAACCTTCTCAACTTGTTCTACCAAATACCTCCAATCCTTCTGCAACTGATTCGCACTTTTATCATGGACAAATGCTGCATTACAATGAAAATAGGCAGCAATCCATGCAATATAAGTTGCACCCGGATCATTTATCACCTGTTGATGGTGCTGTTCAATGGCAATTTCACGGGCATGTAGGTCAACAAAAGGGCTTTGTAGAGCAGCTGTTGGAGGGTGCAAATAAAGAGATGCAACTTAAAGAGGCGAAGCTGAAAGTTGGTGGTACTGCCTACCAAGAAGGTGGGAGTGCAAGTGATCAGTTACTAGTAAATGATCACCTTTTCTCCTCAAAACGATCTAATGATAACATAAAGGACTTTGTTCCTGTTGATGAAGCATCAATTGTGTTCCCTAACCTGGACAGAGAATCTCCTTTAATGTCATCAAAGAATGAGGAGAAGGCAAAGGATCATCCACAGGTCATGTCACTGGCAGATGCTGCTAATTCAGATCAGGTAGGTAAACCAAGTGGTGACTATTATGCTGGAAGTGGTATTGCTACTGAATCTGGTCCAATTGATTTGAGCTACTTCGAGCCTTCTGCTTCCTCACATAGTGTCTTTCGTTCTGAACGAATCCCAAGAGAGCAAGCAGAGCTACTTTACAGGTTGTCCAAGTCAGACAATTCATGTAGTTCTCAGTTTCTTATGACACATTCACATGCAGATATTCTGGAGCCGGAGTTAATTGCAGAATCAGTTCAGAGATCCCAAACTGAAAAGTCCAATATGCAGATAGAGCAAGGCATTTCTGCTGATCATCCTGGTTTTGTTGATTCTCAAACCACTGTTGATGGACAGATGACACTTTCAAAGATGAAGCAGACTGTACCTAACTCTGTTGATGCCAAAGATGATGATCACAAGAATCAGGGTCTAATTGCTGACCGTGATATGAGTCGTGTCAAGTATAATGCTCAGAATCTCCTGGTCGACGACATAGCCGAAGCTAAATCTGAAGTTAGTTTTGTGAACAGAGTGGATTCTGGAAAACACCCAGAACATCCAGTATGTAGTGTTCCTGAAGCTCAAAGGGTAGACAAGGTTGTTAGTGAGACCATGACAGATAATGCGCATGGGCATTCTTCTGCTTGGATAGGGAGCTCAACAAAGGATATTAATCATGGGGAGACCTCAGATGCTTCTAGACCTGAGCAGCCAGATATTCTTATTGATATAAATGACAGATTTCCTCGTGATTTCCTTTCAGACATTTTCTCAAAGGCCATTCTTTCTAATAGCCCTGCAGACACTGGACCACTCCAGAAGGATGGAGCTGGTATGAGTCTGAACATTGAAAAGCATGAACCTAAGCACTGGTCATTCTTCCAAAAATTGGCTGGGAATGATTTTGCACGAAAGGACGTGTCTCTAGTTGACCAAGGCCATACTGGATATTTGGCTGGACTGCCAAAAGTTGACGAAGATGCTTCTGTAGCTTATTGTTTTGATCCATTGACACAGGAGGGAATTTGTTTAGGCCATGTAAATACGGGTGGAAATTTTGGAGAAGATGACCGAAAAGAATCACCTTGTACAAATGCAGCTGAAGCTGTAGTTTCTCATTCTGATTACCACCCATCTAATGTGCAAATCAGTGAAGCC